TTGTACCCTATAAATATATACAATTATTATTTGTCAATTGAAAATAAAAAATTTAACACATAAAAATACATATTCTAGAGAAAAAGGGGTCCTCTTGTCAAACAAGTTTGGGAAGTGGTTCCACTCTGGATGATTAGAAAGCATATTTAACACAAAGTTCCAAGAGGCCCTTCAGCAAAGAAACCTGTTAAAGTGCAACTTCCTCTTACCACAAATTCTTTCTGTGGAACAAATTTTGGGGGAAACATTAAAATGAATATACATTCCCTGAGCTTACTAGCTAAAGATAAGGAGAAATGTCTAGAAACTGTCAGGGAAGAAGGTTAACCTGTAATGAAGAAAGAGCCAAAAACACTTAAGAACTGGCAGTACGTGGACTTCTAAAAGTAGAAAGAAGATTAATAAATTAACCGGAATATTTAAGATATACTATTAAAACATTTTATGGAATAAATTGAACAGATATATTTTTCATTCCAAGAGAGAACTTTTTGGGGGGCAGGGGCAGTACTGGGTTTGAACTTAGAAGTTGTACTTGCTAGGCAGCCAGTCCACCACTTATGCCACTCCGCCAGCCCAAGAGGTAATTTTTAATTATGAAACAGTATATGCTCTTTAAATGATATGTGGAATGTTCAGAAAAACTCATTAGGAGAGAAAGGGGATGGGTTTGTGGCTCAGTGGTAGACCATTTGCCTGGCATGCATGAGGTCCTGGGTTCCATCATTAGCACTCCAAAAAAGGGAAAAAAAAAAAAAAAAAAAAGGTGGAACAATAATTCCATTACCAGAGGCAAGCAATTTTGATTCACTGGCGTATTTCTCTTTTTTTTCTGAGACCAATTTAGTCTAAAGAAAAAAATTAACTCATAAAAGATGAGTTCTTAAACACTGTTTTTTACTACCTCATGTTTAAAAATAAATTCAGTGCAGTTAAAAATAGCATGAGCTGCCAAATTGTTAGATAATGGCTAAAATTCAGATCCCACCACTCACTAGGTATGTTAGCTCCTTTTAAAAAAATCTTACTTAGGAACTGGAGACGTAGTTCAATGGTAGAGCACTTGCCTAGCAAGCTTGAGGCTCTGAGTTCAATTTCCATAACTAGAAAAAGACAAGAATGGAAATTGCTTTAGCTTCAGTTTTACTCACTAAAAAATCTGGACATGTTTTTTAAACTGTTAGGATTGAAACATACAAAAACAGCAGACGTTGAGATTAATGAAAATAAATATTACTCAAAACTTCTCTAAAAATGAGAGGTGGGGAAGTGACAATATTCAGAAAAACGAAAGAGAAGAAACAAAGGCTAGAATACCTGCACAAGAACATACCGTGAAAACCTACAGTTGCAGTGGCTCCAGCATTCCTGAAATATCGGAAAGCATTTTATGTTACTCCTACTATTAAATACATAGCTTTAAATCCCTTAAAATAGTATGGATAAAAACAACCTTTTTTTTTTTTGTTGGCAGTACTGGGGTTTGAACTCAGGGCTTCACACCTGTTAGGCAGGTAGGTGCTGCTCTATGCTTGAGTCACACCTCCAACCCAATTAACCATACTTTTAATGACAAAATATTTGTAGTTTCTTGCAAGCTAACTTAGTAAATAAATAAATATCAACAGAAATAGTAGGCAAACTTGACTTGAACTCAGGACCTCACACTTGCTAGGCAGGCACTCTACTGCTTAAGTATTCTGCCAGCCCAGGCAAGTTTTTTTTTGAACTGATTATAGATACTTTTACATACGTTGATAACAATTACATATGCTTACATTTAAGGTTGGGTAATAAGCTTCACCTAAAAACTAGTGACTCTGTTATATATATTTGGTGGTACTGGGGTTTGAACTCAAGGCCTCACACTTGCTAGGCAGGCGCTCTACCTCTTGAGACACTCCATTTAAATAAAATTGCCTTCTTTAAAGTTGGGCATGGTGGTACACACCTGTAATCACAGCACTTCGGAGGCTGAGGCAGGAGGATATCGAATTTGAAGCCAACCCAGACTACATAGTGAGTTTCAGGCAATAGTGAGATCTTGTCTCAACTTCCCCTCCCCCAAATTGCTTTTATATCCTGATACAATTTATTAAATTCTAACTTTTATGGCAACAGCTATGATTTGGTGTGATTTACTACCTTGGATTAGGTGAACGACCTGGGTTCTGACATCTGATAGGTATGCAACTTTTAATAAATCATGACTTTTCTGAGTCTTTCCATCTGTGAAACATTGGTTGTATCAGTCTTGCTGTGGTAAAAGTAAATCTAGTACTGTTAATATAACACAAAAAACAAATACTAGCTGTTTTTAGATGGGGGGGATTGGGTAGCCAGGAGCAAGAAGCCTTTTACTGTTATTCCCTTTCATACCTTACTAAGTTTACACAAGTGAAAGTATTATTTACCCCCAAAATAAATAGTAAATTTCAGGTCACATCCAAAGACAGAAATACTTTTAGATTTCTAACCTGCCCTTGATGTTATTTTTCAATACTTCATTTTTCTCAGCTATTGTTACCTTCTCTTTCAGTCTCATCTTTTACAGGATTAGTGATTTTTTACATTGAGTATGTATTTTGTTGAAAAGGCATTTTAAAAACTTCTCCCATAAGACAGTTCTGATATCTCCAAAGGATAAACTATAGAATAAACTATAGGATATAAGACTATAGTAAGACCATGTGATGTTACTGATACAGATAATATCATCAATAGAATGGGAATGTATGCATGCTTTCCTACCCTCCTGCCCTTGAGATCAACAGTAGTTGTGAGTCTAAGGCTACTAAAGTCATGACAGAGCAATCAACCTTCACTGCAACTGCATCTTTGACCTCAGCATCATTTTCAGTTAGTTCATTCGGCTGCTTACTCCTATGAGATATGTACTGTTAATGATGAATATATCTGGAAAATTCTGATTACCCTATCAGTGACATCACTACATTTATTTTTACTGTTTTATAGTACTGGTGCTTTGAACTCACAGCTTAGTCCTAGTGAGTTAGGTGTTCTACTACTTGGGCCACACTCCCAGCCCTTTTTTGCTTTGGCCAGCATGGACCATGATCTTCCTATTTACACTTCCAGTGTAGCTGGGATGATAGGTGTGTATCACGGTGTCCAGCTTTTTGTTGTTGTTGTTGTTGTTGTTGTTGAAATGGGGGCTTGAGAACTTTTTGCACAGACTGGCCTTGAACTGTGACCCTCTGGATTTCCACCTCCCAAGTAGCTAGGATTATGGGTATAAGCCATCAGGTTTGGCTTCGTTTATTTTTAAAAAGCTGTATTATCATAAATAACAAGACAACTTTGCAATATGGTATTTAACTGACACAGGTTTCATTACTGCACTATCAACTTGTAATACTGCTTGAGTTTCTATTTCCCTTAATGGGTCCATGACCTCACTGAAGGCATTACAATCTGTAGGCATTGGTTGAAACAAATGAAATTACCAAAAAAAAAAAAAAAAAAAAGTATTTTTAATATATTTATTTACTATATATTAATGTATATTATATACATACACTAGTAAAGGCAAGACTTCATCTTTTAATATCTGAAAAATTCTACTGGATTACTTGGCCCCACTTTAAACAAAACTACTAAATACCCAAAGTACCCTTTTAATAACCTGAGACATTAATAACAATTTGTCTCATACATCCACAGTATCTGCTATGTTCTCTTACCAATTTGGTGGAGCTAAGTCTCATCTCCATTTTACAGATGAGGGATCTGGCATTCAGGAAAGAAGCATATTCAAGGTCATACAATATGTCAAGAGTTAAAATTAAAATCTAGGATTGTTCAACCCTAAGCCTTAAGCTAACATAGACATGTGAAATTCTCAAAGAAAAGTTTTTTGTAAGCTGTGAATCAAATGTCTTGACTGCTAAGGCAGAAAGAAAAGCACAAGTGTGCAGACACCATTCATTTTAAAAGTCACATGGTATTACAGGTATAACACCAAAAGTATTCACACCTATAATTCCTGCTTTAATTTGCTGATTTTTCTTATGCCATGTCTGAATTGTACTATGCTAAAATCTGATCATGACTAATTCAGTATGGAGGGCTCATCTTGAACTTTTTCCAATGATATCTTTCCAATGATACTTAGTTACCTGGACAAATATTATAAGTCGGTCTACCCCAAACTCGAATGATCTCCAAATAAAATTAAGATATTCAGAAAGCATCATCTCAGGTACCTTTATTCTGGTAGGAAATCAACAGTAGGTTATCTTCCCACAAATCCAAGGTTCTTCTTGAGCCAATCACTCTCCTTTTCATTTAGATACAACCCTCAATGTCTAGCAAGCCTATCTAGAGACTTAGGGTTTAAATCCACACTTCACACAGTGCCACCATGGCAAGAGACACCATGGTACCAGATTGAAAAACACAGGGAAATTTCTTCAACGGAAAAACGTCTCAGATTATAAAAAATAAGTCTGATTGAAATTGGAAAGTACCATAAAAAAAAAACCTGAAAAATTCTCATAGATAAGTACTAGTGAAAGAATATCATTATGAAAGTTTTCACAGTCACTAATATGGAGAACGTGAAGACACAAGCAGAGCCTAAAACCGATGGCCAAGACCTTGGCACAGATTGCAAGGATCTAATAAAGCGTTCAGCAATACAGTTCAGTTCTAACTCTTTCAGATCTAAACATGCGTTTCAGTGAACTCTGGGTGGGACCTGAATAGGGGAACAAGTCACTTTCTTAGGGCTACCTAGAGTCTTAAGAAATAGGCATTAACGAGTCCTTTACCTCTACAGAAGTGAAAAGGTGAAAAGTACGAAGGATGCCAAGATTAAAGGCTGGAGAGAGACATCCAAAGATCTGCCTCTAACCATGCCCCAAGAAGCGGCCGGGTCCGTTCAAGTGTCCGGATGTGGCCGCCGGGAGGCGAGCCTGAAAGGTAAGCGCGAGACCCCAGCTGGCACGGTAGGCGGTGGCCACCCTTCCCCCACTCACCTCCCGGAGCGCAGCTTCACAGGGGCTGTCGGAGTAACTGCCGCCATCATCATCGCCATCACTGGGCGCTCGCCGAAGTGAGAAGCAGGCCCTGCCACTCCTGCACCTCGTGCACCTTCTATCCCGCGGGTGTCTTTCTGGCAATCCCTGCTCCCCCCCCCACCCCCCCCCGACCCCTCGACGCTCCGTTCCCGTGTCAGCCTCGGCGGTAATCGCCTCTGCCTGCTTCCCAGGCGCGCCACCACTTCCGTCTTCAGCTCCCTCCTTTCCTTCCCTAGCTCCCCCCAGTAACCGGCTCTTTCCCTTGCGGCCGGCGCGCCGCTGACGCCACCACCCCGCGACCTCCGTCCGGACCCGCGCTGGGCGTGGGCGGGCTGCGCAGGCGCAGTGTGGCAAGCGCGCCCGAGCGCGGGAAGCGGCGGTGCGCGGACGCTGGCTTGCTGCTCTCTGCTCTACCTTCCCCGGGCGTGGATGCTGGCTTCCCTGGCGCGCGCTCATTCCCACTGCCCGCACCTGCCCCAGAGTAGTGTGTCCCCTGCTCGGCTTGCTGTGTGACAGACCTTCCGCTGGTGCCACTCGGGTTGGAAAAACGGGGCTGCGGAGAGCGTGCCCGGGAGGAGACGAGCCTCCCCCTACCTCAAAATAAAAAAAACGCTAGCTTTTCTAAGCCACTTCCAGGAAGGGAAAGGAAAAGATGCCGGCCATACAGAAGCCGATGAGGTATGGACATACAGAAGGACACACGGACGTCTGTTTCGATGATTCTGGGAGGTAAGGTTCTTTGAGAAACGAAAAGGACAATTCGGGTGTAACTCTTAAGTCAATAGAAAAATGACTCGTGCACACAGAGAGGAATAATGTTGAAATCTAAGGGGAAACAGATAATTCCTGGTTTTTTTTTTTTTTTTTTTTTGCTTCGGACTGTCATGGTAATTTTAGTATGTCAGAAAAGTTAAAATGTTATTTCCAGAGCAGTTGGAAAGAGGCGAGGCGAGCTCCCCCCACCGCCCCTGTTTTCATTTCTCTGCGTCTGACATTAATTTTGTGACAAACTGGATGCTCCTGTTTGTCACATTCAGTGGTCCGTGTTGTGTTTGGTTTGCTGTCCTCCATTGGCTTTAGTGATGTTCTTTCTCTTAAACTTTCTGACCTTTATTTTTTCTTTTTTCTTTCTTTCTTTTTTTTTTTTTAAGTTTCCTCTGCTTAATTCCTAAACAGTGATATTTTCCTAGGGTTATTCTGGTCCCTTTCATCTTTGTAAACCCTATGCCTAAGAAGGTCTGTCCAGTTCTGTGGCTTGCACTGCCACTCCTATGTTGATTGATTAACTGAAAGGAATATTTGTGTGTCTACTCTGCTGGGGACTAGATATACAATAGTGCAAACAAGGCATGATCTTTTCCTTTATTGAGCTTAAGGTCTTTCTGGGTTGATTGGCATTGAGCTGCAGTTAACCACAAAAATAAATGCATATTTAGAAATGCACATAGATATACAACTATATGTGCAGTGATAAGTATATGGGAGGGGAAGCTGATCCAATTTGAGGCAGTAGGGAAGGCTTTTTGAGTAAGTGTTTCTTGGATGTGATCTGAAGATTGAATAGGCATTAGGAAGTATAAAAGGTGTAGCAGGGGGGTGGTGATTCTGGCATCTAAGCAGAGGGAACTCTGATGTTGAAAGGCTCAGTGCAGCCAGGGACCATGGTATGCCCAAGAATTAAAAGAAAGCTATTGATGCTAAACTGTAGAGGGAGGCTGAGGTTGATGAGAGATGAATCTGAAGGTAAGCAGGGAGTGCCCTATGCAAGGCCTTCTGGTTTTATTAAGGAATCTTGTTTTTATTCTGAAAGCAGTGGGAAGGCATTGAAGGTTTGAAGCAGGGAGTTGTGATTAGTCTCTTTTTTTTTTATATGAAGCATGAATTAGAAAAGGAGCAGGAAGGGATGCAGACTGTTACATTTTTATTTCGATGGTGATGGAAACTTGAACTAGAGTGGGTATGGGTGGGGAGAAAACAGGATATAGTCAAGAAATATTTAAAAGGTGAAGTCAACAGGAAGTTTCAGATATTAAGGACAAAGAGAGGTGTCAGGGATAACATCTGTGTTTCTGGATGCTCCAGTTGGAGAAATGATGCTGTCACTTGCAGGTGTTGGAAATACTTGACACTTGAGAATTCACCATTAGATTTAGCAATGTGGAAGCCATTGGTGATCTTGAGCAAGATTTATAGAGTGGCAAGGGTTGAAAACCTTGTTGGAGTGGATTCCAGAGGATGGAAGAAGAGGAATTTGAACTAGTGAGGATGACATTTTCAAAGAATGAATGTGGTTGAATGGGAATGTGGGGTCAGGAAAGATTATTTTGGTTTTTGCTTAAGGGGAAATAGATTATTAGCATATATGTGAGTGGAGATGACCTACCTAATAGAGAGTGAGAAGTTGATGTTATAGTAGAAGAGGAGGAATTGCTAAAGTGATGTCAATGAATAGGTGAGAAAGACTTGGTTCTAGTACACAAGGAAAGTGACTGACCAAAGAGATGGGAGTGTAGGCAAATAAATAAGGGTAGGGAAGGTGACCTAGGTGGATGGAAAGTAATGTGAACAATTACCATAGATTGCTTCTGTTTTCTGAGTGAAATTATAAGCAAAGTCATTAATTGAGAGTGGGGGAAGAGGTGAAAGTTTAAAGGAAGAGGAGGAGGTATGAGATAAATTGTTAGGAGAGGGAAAGTTAAATGGACTAGGAAAATGTAGTTGGATTGCAGAGTAGCACTCACTGCCTACTTCAGGTGGTAGTGAAGTAAAGGTGAGACCGGATAACCTGCTTGTATGTTTTTCTTCAACCATTTGTAGTTTATTGTTTAAATACAAATCTAAAAATTCTTTCATCTGATAAAACAGGAAACTAGCAGTCCTTGTTAGTAAAGTTTATTCGTATAAACTGAGAAAAACTATTGGCTAATGCCTTGTTTTATTTGAAAATATATAAAGATAGCATTCCAAAAAAATTAATGTGCCTAAAGCAGAATGACTTTGATGCCTGTATTTTCTTTACAGTTGTATTGTGACTTGTGGAAGTGATGGTGATGTGAGAATTTGGGAAGACTTGGACGATGACGATCCTAAGTCCATTAATGTTGGAGAAAAGGCGTATTCGTGTGCTTTGAAGGTAGTAGAGACAGTTACAACATGGCATGAGAAATGATAGTGCCATGTGATTTTTATGCTTGGGTGAAAATATTTTTATAGAAGTTCTGTTTTGAATGTAGATATACCTTTTCGTTTGTTTGTCTTATGAAATAATATGCAAGATATGTACTAATGCCATAACTTGCCTAAGAATTTTAAAGATAAAATATGAAAGATTTACTAAACATGATGAATAGATATTAATGGTGAGCCAATTAAAATATACACAAGAAAGTTTGGTATTTTTAGCTCATTGTTGTGGTTTGAATGTGTCCACCAAAAGCCTGTGTTACAAACTAATCCCCAACACAGTAGTGTTGGAAGGTAGGGCCTAATGAGAGATGACAGGCCATGAGGACTCTGTCCTCATGAGTGGATTAGTGCCATTATCCTGGAAGTGGGTTTGTTATTGTGAGAATGAGCTCATTAGAAAAAGGTGAATTGGGTCTTCTTATTCTCTCTTGCCCTCTCTTTGTCTTTGGCCATGGGATGACTCAGCAAAAGGTCCTTATTAGATGCCAGTTCCTTGACTGTGGACTTAACGAGCCTCCAAAATCATGAGATCATGAGGAAATAAATTTCTGTTGATTGTAAATTACTCAGTCAGTAGAATTGGTATAGCAGCACAAAATGGACTAAGATACTCACTATCTAGAATACTTAAGAAATTATTCAAGAAGATAGGAATGTTTCATTAGCTTTTTCAAAACCTCTGTATGTGTACCTATTTCACATGTTTCTAATGTTTTGTGAGACAAATAATGGGAATGAGATATAGATTTCTTAGAGAATGAAAACATATTTTCAGAAGGCTTTGGAAATTAAATACCTGCAAACCACTAAGAGGCTGGGTGTGTGGCTCAGTGGGAGACTGCTTGCCTAGCGTTCATGTGGCCCTGAGTTTGGTTCCCAGCATCACAAAAATAAGTAAATAACAATAATGCAGAAAAACCACTAAGATTTTTATTTGTGATGAATTTTGACTGTATTGCATTTGGCTAGAAAAAAAATCTTCCTACCGGATTCATATTTTTCCAAACTCAGGCTCATTAAGGTAGATGAGATAGTCTTTTAGATATTCTAGATATTCTTTTTGAAATGATTACATATGATGGAAAAATAGATTCCTAGAAACAAAAATACAAATGACCAAAAATCAAAGAATGCAAATTAAACAACTGGGTATTTTTTTTCCTCCATCAACTTGGCAAGAATGAAAAATATTTCTAATCCCAGTAATAGTGAGTGCTTGGAGAATTAAGTATTATACACAGTTGCTGGAAGCATAAGTGAGAAGCCTTTTTTAAAAAAGCAAATTGAGCCAGTTGTGGTGTCTCATGCCTGTAATTCCAGCTACTTGGGAGGTGGAGATTGGGAGGATTGCAGTTTGAGTTCGGCCCAGGCAAAAGGTTAGCGAGATCCCATCTTAGTCAACAAACTAGGTCTGATGGTACATGTCTGTGATCCCAGCTACATGAGAGGCAATAGGTACGGTCTGAAGCCAGTCCTGAAAAATAGTTAAAACCAAGAAAGCAACTTTGGACATGGCTCAAGTGGTAGAGCATCTGCCCAGCAAGTGTGAGGCACTGAGTTCAAACCCCACTACTTCTTAAAAAAAAAGAAAAGAAAGAAAGAACTAACTGATACCATGTATCAAAATTATAATACACAATCATTTTCAGCTTTTCTCCCCATGAAAATACTTCCAAGTTTATGAGGACAAAGATACTAGTAAAACTATTGTTTGTAATGGCAGAAGTTAGAAACAATTAAGGGGCCTTCAATAGAGAAGTAATTTTATAAATTTTGGTAGTTATACAATGAAATACCATAACCACTAAAAAGGAAATACATATATTTGCCCTGAAAAGATTTTTACAATTAAGTTGAAAATAAGAAAGTAAGTTGCAGAACAGTCTATGTAGTGTAGTGTTATGCTTGTTAAAATTTTTAAATGAATGCATATGTTTATGTGGATATAGAAAATAGTTAAGAATATGTAACCTATGCTTGCTCAGTCCCACCATATGACGGCCAACCTAGTCTCAGAGTGCTGCAGAGCCCCACCAGCAAGAAAGCTCTCACATTTGTGGTCTACCTGACTTTGAACTTTTCAAACTCCAGAACTGTAAGAAATAATTTTTTTTAATTTTTATTTTTTGACTTTTTCGAGGCAAGGCTACTATGTAGTTCAGGCTGGCTGCAAACTCATGATCCTGGGATTACAGACATGTGCCACCATGTCCAGTTAGAAATAAATTCAAAAAAAATTTTTAAAAACTACCCATTTAGGCACCAGTGACTCACGCCTATAATCCCAGCTATATGAGAGGTTAAGATGAGGAAGATCATGGTGCCAGGCCAGCTTGGTAGGAAAAAGTTCCTCAGACCCCATTTCAACAACAAAAAGCTAAGCACAGTGGCACCAGCCTGTTCCCAGCAGGAAGCTTAAAATAGGATGGTAGGCCAGCCTGAGCAAAAAGCAAGATCTTACCTCCAAAGTCATCGGAGCAAAAAGGGCTGGAGGTGTGGCTCAAGAAGTAGTGAACCTGCCTTATAAGTTCAAAGCTGTGAGTTCAAACCCCAGGACTGCCAAAAAAAATTTTTTAATGGAAAAAAAAAAAAAAAAACCTAGTCTGTGGGTCTGTGATATTCAATTAGAAAAATGGAAACCAGATTAAGAACCGATGCTTCACATAGGGAGGGAACCACATGGGCCAGAAAAGAATCATAATCAGATGAACAGGAATTGTCCAAGACTTAATTACAGCTCTGGCCAAAGCCCACAGAAAGGCTAGCTTTCTAGCATAGGTATGCTGCACAAAAGGCCCAAATTACCCCCTGGGTGTGGGGGCTACTATAGAACAAAAGAAAAATGTACCAACTACTCCATTGTAAAATTAAATGACAAAATGGCCATGCTTTGTGAAGTACGCCCCCTCCCAAAAGAAAGGTATAGTCAACATGAACCTGATTCTGTTTAATTAAATAGAGCCGACACCAAACCTCTCCACTACCCCCTTTTCTATCATTTATTCAATGAAAGTTTTCAGGAAGCATATATCAAATTCTAATACTGATTGCCACTGGAAAGTAAGTAAGGGAGTGTTTAATTTTTATTTAACTTTTTATCACAGAAAAAGTTAAGTGGTTAATGAATGCCTGTGTAGCTACTTCTTAGCTTCATCAATTATCAATTCAGAACCAATTTTGTTTCATCTATATTCTTACTCACTTCCTCTCTTTACTTTACAGTCAATCCCAGACATTGTATTATCTCATCCTAAATATTTCAAATATGTATTGCTAAAAGACAGTTTTAAAAAACATGAAAACAATACCACTATTATGTCCAAAAAAATACAATAGGACTTTAATATTAAAAAAAAAAGAATATGTAACCTAAAGTAATGTAGATTTATTGTCCAGTCATAAGAGTAGGAAACTCTGCTTAGGGCTCTTTAATATTTTTTTTTCTATGATAAGTATATGTTGCTTTTGTGTATATAGGACTAAGGAAGAAAAAAGTAAGCAAAATTTTGTACTGCTGTAACAAATTGCCTTAAAACACTTAATCTGATGTTAAACTTTACCTTATTCCAAAAAGACGTAATTTTATTGAGGGATCTTGGGCAATGCTGACATCCTGCCTTCTCACATCTTCCTTTCTTATTGAAACTGTTTTCTCTGTAAAACTCTTGTGAACCCCCTTCATTTTTGTGACATTTGGAATTCATAGAAATACTACTTAAATGTTTTTCTCTCCCTCTTTTTTTGTTTTGGCCATACTAGGGGTTGAGCTTGGCCTCACACTTGCTAGATCATTGCTGTACCCCTTGGGCCAGTCCGCCAGCTGGAAATGTTTTTAACAAAAGTAAAAGAGAAATCACAGGCTGAGAGATAAGCTGGTGGAGGTAGTATTAAGTTTTCTAAAGCTAGCAATTTTTTCTTGCTTTCAGTTTTCCAGTCAGGTTGTGCACTGGTTATTTTTTTTCTTGACATAAACTATGTTTATGAGATTTTCTGTTTCTTACAGGGTTTTTTATTGTAGAGAGTCTATCAACTAATTTGGGTTTGTTATGCCAGTGTTTATTATTATTATTTTTAGAATGGAAAATTGGTCACTGCAGTTTCTAACAATACTGTTCAAGTCCACACATTTCCTGAAGGAGTTCCTGATGGTATATTGACTCGATTCACTACAAATGCAAACCATGTGGTGTTTAATGGGGATGGTACTAAAATTGCTGCTGGTTCAAGGTAAGGCTGTCTGACATCAAAAAAGAAATAATGTTGAAAGGCAACATTCATTTGTTCCAGGGTAATATTTTTAGAACACTGGACTTTGTCCATTTATTTTTACTTGTTATTGTCAAATCTTTAGTAAAAGTTTCTTTAATTTTTCCCAGTGCTGGGAATCACATTTAGCAAAAGTTTTTGAGTATAAATTTGTGATTTTTTTTTTGTGTGTGTGTGTGTGTGTGTGTGAATTGAAATACATTGCTTTGCAGACAGCCTATTCAGTAAACGATGAAAAAGACTGGGAAAGGTGATAGCTTGATATAAATTTTAAAATTATTTTAGGTTCAGCCTGTGTTGTAGTACAATCAGATTTTTGCAGATTCCTTTGATGCTTATTTTTCATAAGAAAAACATGCAATTGGTTCAGTTGCTGAGGTGTAGTGAAACATAGTACTTTTAAAAATGGTTGTGGCCATAATTAGATTAGCAAATAATAGAAGCTTAGGATGTAACTAAAGAAGCCATTTAGGAAGTATTTATATTTTAACATAATGGGAAATCTTGACTTGTGTTTTCAGCATCTTTATGAAGCAAAACTAAAAGGCAAGTCATTAAATTTGGGTACTAAATTTTCCAGATTGCTACAAAGACATTTTAACATTCAGTCTTGTGATTATGAAAGTCATGGGAGAGACTTTTGTATTGCCATTTATTTACGTGCATTACTCTTACTGTTCATAGTGATTTTCTTGTCAAAATTGTGGATGTGATGGATAGTAGCCAACAGAAAACATTTCGAGGGCATGATGCCCCTGTTTTAAGTCTTTCTTTTGATCCAAAGGACATCTTTCTGGTAATTATTTTTTCCTCTCTTTTTATGTTTTTCCTAAAGATATTTAAAATTTTGAGAGAATTAGCAGATAACTTTACCCCTTTAGTGAAAGGCTATTTGATTGAATCAATTGAACCAATTTCCATGTAGTATTATGGCTATAATTACAGAGAAATGTATTGTTTGTTCTGCAGACATCAGCTAGTTGTGATGGATCTGTCAGAGTGTGGCACATTTCAGATCAGGTAAACTCATCAATTTGAATTTAATATTTTTTGCCCATTTCTGTCATATATTGGGTATTACAAATTATAGGGTCGAAATGGTTATTTTTCTTTATAGTTTGTTTCTCTGAGTAGCATTAAGATTGTTTTTGTGATCAAATTCCAGAATAATCTGATGCAATAATAAGTATCTTAAAGACTAATTGCTTTTATGCTTTAAACAGGGGAATGATAGATTTGTATTTCATTTTTAAGCTTTGAAAATCAAGAGGGAATTCAGTCATTGTATATTTATAAGATAGCTACCATATGTTGAGTCTGGGATTAGATGTTGGTGATATAAAAATAAATAAGGCACAGGCCACACTTGATTTGGTGAGTCATACATACATCTTATTCTAACCGAGCCTGTTACAGGTTTTAAAGGCTATATGAAGAAAATGCACTCTGGACTGGCAAAGGGAATGACTAAGTCTTCCTGAGGCAGTCAGGGTGGATTTGGTATTTCTAGAGATAAATGTGGCTGATGAGAAAAATAGCCCCTACAGATAAGCCTTAGTAGCCATAGTTCCTTCCCCTCATTCTTGGACTATTTAGTCTGACTTTGACACCTTAACATTTTATGGTAGACTTTTCAAGTTTTATTTATTTTTGTAGACTTATTAAAAATTTAATATATTGGGGTGGGTGTTTTTGGGGGGGTGCATCTTTATTCAGTGAGTATATTGCTGCTTATTCTGCACAGAAAATACTTAAATACTTTTTTTTTAAGATTCGTACTCTTCATATATCTGAAGTACTTAAAATAAATGTGGGTTAATCAGGTATTAAGTGCAGAATGTTGCTTTTTTCTGAGTTTGAAGAAATCACTGGTTAAATGTACTCAGTTATGCATGTATTTTGGGGAGGATTTTCATAAAGAGAAATAAATTTTCTTTTTTTATCAGACATGTGCTATTAGTTGGCCACTACTACAAAAGTGCAATGATGTAGTAAATGCAAAATCCATCTGCAGGCTTGCTTGGCAGCCAAAAAGTGGGAAGGTAAATGGCTTTTATTTTCCAGCCTTTGAATTAGCTCTTCTAGTCCTTGTCAACTTTGAATATGTAACTAGGTTTTTGTTTGTTTGTTTGTTTGTTTCATTGGCAGTATGGGAATTGAACTCAGGACATCGTACTTGCTAGGCAGGCACAGTACCACTTAAGCCACTCTGCCGGTTCTTTTTTGTGTTGGGTATTTTTGAGATAGGGTCTTGTGAACTGTGTGCCTGGCTGGCTTTGAGTCTTGATTCTCCTTATCCCTGCCTCCCAAGTAGCTAGGATTATAGGCATGAGCCATTGGCACTCGCCAGTTTGGTTTTTTTTTTTTACTAATCTGGAATTTGGAAGAATATCTAGGAAGATAAATGTTTTTTTCCTCAAGATTTTAAAAGAATTCTGGTTTTATTTCCTTCCAGCAAATGAGGTGAATTTTTAGATGAAAAAAGCCTAGATTCCTTTAGGAATAATATTAAAAGTACTAGTAACTATTAGTTCTTTGTTTTTCATAGCAAGCAATAGAGTGATTATCTTCCATTTTTTCCTTACCAAAATTTTTTAAGTTGGAGGTGGGTGCCTATGGCTCATGCCTGTAATCCTAGCAACTTAGGAGGCAGAGATCAGGAGGATCCCAGTTCAAAGCTGGCCCAGGCAAATAGTTTGTGAGACTCTGTCTCGAAAAACCCATCACAAAAAAGGGCTGGTGGAGTAGCTCAAGCCTTGAATAGGTCAAGCCCCAGTACCACCAAAAAAAAAACCAAAAAATTTAAGTTGGACTGGCGGAGTGGTCTAAGTGGTAGAGTGCCTACGCCTGCCTAGTAACCATGAAGCCCTGAGTTCAAACTCCAGTACCGCAAAAAAAAAAAAATTTAAGTAATTTTCTAGTTGCAGCTTTGCCTTTATGTTTTATAAATTTATCTAGATGAATTTTATCCTTTTTTCTTTTCAAATTGAATTTAATGTATTCTTTTACTTAAATTATTTTGATCTTTCCTCATAGTTATTAGCAATTCCTGTGGAAAAGTCTGTAAAGCTATACAGAAGAGAAACTTGGAGTAATCAATTTGATCTTTCAGATAGTTTCATCTCTCAGGTAGGTTTTGTAAGTGACTCTTAAGTAGGCTTAAATGTAGGGAACATTTAATGCATATTTCACTAAATACAGTTGCAGTTAAATGTTATGGGAAGTGGAGAACAGCTCCGATTGTTGTATGTGTCTGCTTTCTCTCCCTCTGCCTCCTTCATAACTGGGCACTAGATAGATCTTGGCTAGGTCTTACATGACCTTTTTCCTTTGAGTTTTGATTTAAAACCTTTTAAGTTCTAAGAAATAAAATTTAACCCTAGCATAGCATTAGAGCAAGTTAATCTTAAATTATTAGTGACTGGTGTTTATTGTAAAGTGAGTTTCACTGAGACTTGTGACCATAGTCTTTGGGATTTTAGAGTAAGTATGTTGTTAGTCTGCTCTCTCAGTTTTTCTCTCTCTCATTTTCTTATATCTCTCAAATTTTAGAGCAAGAAAAGTTACTGCTCTCTGTTTCCTCTCTTAGACCCACGTGCACACACGCATGCACACATATTTTAGAGTTAAGGGAGCATAGGCCCCGTAGGTCAGCTTTGGCTTATTCAGATTCAGTTCACTTACTGCCTCTCTTTCATCTCGAATGCTAAGAGGGCATTGTCTCTTTCCAGGATGGTAACATTTTACTTTTAAAATTGTGTGGGTATAATTTTCTCATGGAAAAGTAGTATCTGCTAGTGATGGTTGAATATTGTTGAAAAAGAAAGTTAATAAAATAAGCAAACTTTGTCTTGTCATTTGTGTATCAAATATAATTAGAAATAATATAGACTAGGGACTTAAAAATTTAAATTTGGAGTAATAAAGTGAGTATTAGTTTCAAATTATACAACATTCTTATTTGTTTTTCCATTGTAGACACTCAATATAGTAACCTGGTCTCCCTGTGGGCAATACTTAGCTGCAGGTAGTATTAATGGTTTAATTATAGTTTGGAATGTGGAAACCAAAGATTGCATGGAGAGGTATGATTCAGTGTTTCTTTTTGTTCTTTTTAGCTCATTTCTTCTATTAGTTTCTTGTATTACTATGAAATATTTCAAAGTTTTGATTATTAATCAAAATGGTTATGTATAGATTATTTAGATTACATGGATTATCAGAAGCTGTTTAACCTTTTCGAACCAAAATTTGCCTAAAGAAATGCATAGTTTATATTTTTCTTGACAGTTTTTGAAGAGCTCACTTTTTAATTTTTAGGGTGAAACATGAGAAAGGCTATGCAATTTGTGGCCTGGCATGGCACCCTACTTGTGGTCGAATATCTTACACTGATGCAGAGGGAAACCTTGGTCTCCTGGAAAATGTTTGTGACCCCAGTGCAAAGACATCAAGAATTAAGGTAATATGTATATGGTAAAACAGATTCTTCCAGCTGTTTCTGAATTTGTGTGGATTTAGAAAACACAACAAACTACCTTATTTTCTTGTGAAGTTATATTCACGTTTCTACCTTAGATGTTCAGTAATTATCTATAATAAAGAAAACTTTTTTTTTTCCTTATATTAGAGATTGAATTCAGGGCCTTGTGCTTGCTAGGCAAGTGCTCTACCACTTCAGCCATGCCCCTAGTCCTAAACTTTTTCAATCTAATGTTTCCCGAGTATAGGAAGCTTTCTCTCCCACATAAAGCCTGTCCCAGGAATTTCCTTTGTGAGATATTATTTTAGTGTCTTGGTATTCTGAAGATTGTTAGTAGTTAAAACTTAGAATTAATAACTTTAACAGGTTTCAGTTGTCCTACAAACTTTTTCTGCTCTTAATTAGGCTTAGCTCTTAGAGCTACCTCCCCATGTACCTCCTTTGCTTAGTAACATAACCTTACAAAGTACCTTAAATTGTTACCTATTTTTTGTTCATTATTCACCCTGCTTGGCAAATGCACCTTTACATATTTCAAGTCTTGGTTTAGACTTGAGTTAAAGGTTGCAGACAAGATATGCATGCATTTGTCTCTGCTCCTTCTAACCCCTATTAAAACTACATTAAAGAAAAAAATTTTAAATGACTAATTGCATAAGGATAAAGAATACAGTTAAGTAATGATAGGAATTAAGTTTTAGAGGCTATAAAATACAAGGGTGGTTAGAAACTAGCTTCTCAAACAATTGGATCCTAAGGCTGCAGTGGAGGGAAACTTGAGGTTACAACCATTTACCTAACTAAATCCCCAAAGATTCAGAATTTGGTACCACTAGATACTTCTAAAAGTGAGGCTGAAAGTAATAGGGTTGATTTAATAAGCAAATAGAGTCCTCCATTCTCAATATCAGTGTGCACAGGATGGTAACTGCCCTCCTCCATCCTCACGTGTATTCTGGCAGAGTGTATATTCTCTGGGAAAAGTAAAGGAGAGAAGCTACTTGGTCCAGGCATTCTAGACACAGTTGAGTGGCATTAGCTTGGGGGAATAGGGAATACTGTACTGAAAACAGGATTAAATGAAAGTGGAGATGCTTGAATGTTGAAATCTAAGCTCGCTTGTACTTGGCTTCCAGAACATTTTCATCTGGCCTTAGGCTCTTCAGGGAGGAAATTGGAAAAATCATCTTTGGGGAATCTGTCCCAGTAGGGCTTAAAGAGAGAAGAGATAAATCTTAACTCCAGGGAAAACAAAAAGTTATAAAAGAAAGGAAATATAAGCATAATATATGCATCTGTAAAGTGGAGATAGAAATTGTACGTATGACTTAGGGTTACTGTGAGGATTAAATGAATTATGTGTATCTAGTACAGCACCTTACAAGGCTGTTATTTTTATTCAGCTATGGATAGCATTTACATATTCATAGCCTAAACATACTCTTGATTGAGTCAAAATGAGACTATACCTGCATACAGTGGAAGGATTGGGGTAGGAGAGTAGTGTGCTTGCATACATGGGGTTGGAGGTGGCTGTAAAAGGACACCACATCCTCATTTTCTATAGAAGAGAATTAGCAGGACCTGTTAAACAGACTAGGACTAAAACTGGAAAATCAAAAAAATAGTCCTAGAATATTATTTACAAGTATGGAAGAAAATGTCTAAGACACTAAAAGAGCTGGAAAGATTTACTGTGCAGAGAAGTTAAGTTGGTGCCTATGTAGAAGACTGTTTTCATTTGTATAATAAATCTTGTAAAACTGTTTGACTAACATATATGTGTGTAATGATTACAAACAAAACACAAACTGAGACATGGCTCAAGTGGTAGAGCACTTGCCTAGCAAGCACAAGGTCCTGACTTTGATCCCCAATACTGCAAAAAAAAAAGTGTAAGTTAAAAAAAAAATTTTTAGTTCAATTCTTTAATACTTCTATCCAGAATTGACTACTTTTTTCTTTTTGCTTTAACTTTTCATAGTAACTATTTCTGTCATAACACCTGTTATTATTTTATATCCCTCATCATAAATATAAGGGAAAACCCAATTTTCCAATAAGAAAATCTTAAAGTTTTTGGAATTCAGTTCATAAACTTTTAGGTCTATAGCTAGAATGGTTAAATATCTTAAAGCATTTGGTTGTTAATTTAATTACTTACCAAATAATATGTTTAAATACATGAATTTAGAAGTACCTTTTTCCTGTTCTCTCGTTTTATTTAACATTAGTTTTCCAAAACAATTATGCTTATTTTCTTCTAAAATATTTGCGATGTATTCCTCTTTAATCCATAAATAGTTTTCTGGCTAGAATTTTATAGTTCCAAACTATAAATTTCCATTGGATTAATATTTGCAGTTTCATCCATCTTAGGAGTGATTTAGAATCACTGCAATTTATTTTGCTTACTGTTTCATTTTGTAAAGTGATTCAAAAATTTGTTTACAATGACATCCAACTCCTGCAATGACATATTTACATTCCTAGATAATGATTAAATCTATGTTGAATTTCTTTGCTTCTTTTCTATTTCTATTTGTTCTATAACTTGGTTACTATAAACATTTTTAAAAAACTAACTTTAACTGAGATGGTTTAAAACAAATGTGTAAAAAAGATATTACCTAAGTAATTATCTTGCTCAAAATAAAAGTAGATGAGGAGCTGGGTGTGGAAGGGTGAAGGTGGAAGGTGGGGTGGTTTTGAGTTCCAGGCCAGCCTGGGCTACATAAGGAGACCCTGTCTCATGAAAAAAACAAAACAAAACAAAAAAGTAAATGGGAGAATGTCCTTTTTTTTTAAGACTTTTTTATTGGTATGTATTAGTTGTACAAGGGGTCTTATTGTGACATTTCCATAGGGCTTATAATATTTCTTAATTAGACTCACCCTGTCTACTCTGGGGGATGTCTTAGACCGTGAGAAACTTTGTAGTGACTTTCTTATATTAATGAGAGGTGATTTCTACTATGGAGAATGACTTGAGGAATAAACTTATATACAGTACATGCTTACATGTCTGTCCCTGTAATCCTTCTCAGATTGCAAAGCATTTAAGGTAGGGATTGTATCTTATTATATAAATGTAAGTACAATCCTTATAAACAATGAACACATTTATATATTATATCACTGTTATTGCTTACTTGGCAGAGTGTGTAGCTATATTTCAAAAGATTGTCTTTTGGGGCTGGGTGTGTAGCTCAGTGCTAGAGCACTTGCCTACCATGCACAAGGCACTTGGTCTATTCCCAGCACTGCCACCACCAAAAAAAAAAGATTGCCTTTTAAGTGATTTAGTTTTACTAATATGTTTTAATTTATAATGATTTGTTTAAGGTATCTAGCAGAGTGGAAAAGGATTACAGTGATCTTTTTGATGGAGATGATACAAGTAATGCTGGTGATTTTCTAAATGATAATGCAGTTGAGATTCCGTCTTTTTCAAAAGGGATTGTAAATGATGATGGGAATGATGATGACCTCATGCTAGCTTCAAGTCGTCCTAGACAGCGAAGTTACATCCTAGAAGATGATGAAAACTCAGTTGGTATGATTTTGACTTTGTGCATGTAATAATCCACCATTTTCAATTTTTTATGAAAGCCATTATTTAAAGTAATTGAATTTGTAGAATATAGTTGAGGTGTTACTTCGACAGAGACTTATGACATTAATTCCTATGTTAAAAAAAGAAAGTTTCAAATCAATGATGTGAGATGACTTTTATTCTGGAGAATGACTTGTGAGGAATATACTCTTACCTTATATTAGCAAACTATTTTCCTGCTTTAGCAAGCTAGGAAAAGAAGGAATTAAATCCTAAACAAGGGAAAGGAAGAAAATAATATAATTCATAATTCAATTAAATTGATAGCAGAGAACTTACAGAGCAAGTCATTGAAACCAAAAACTTGTTCTTTAAAAACACCAATAAAATTGATAAGTCTCTATCCTGACAGAACAAGGAAGAGACAAGTTATTAATAAGAAAAAAACTTAATAACATGAGGATTGAAAGAAAGGCTGTCACTATAGGTCATAGAGCCTTAGGCTAATTCAGTATGGTAGCCATTAGTCACATGTGGCTATTGAGTATTTGAAATATAGCTAGCTCAAATTGTGAAGTGTTACAAGTGTCAAATAAAACCAAGTAAGATTTTGAGAATAGTATGGAAATGAAAATGTTCAGCTTAAAATTGAAACATTACTCAACTTACTTTTTTTTTAAGATAGCCATCGTACTTCTTTGTGCACACTCACATTTTAGCATATAGAACTTTTTAAAAAGAATCTGTAAAGGTCAAGATTTAATAAAATTAAGTGTTGAGTGCATGTTGAAACAATATTGTAAATTGGTATAAAAATTATTAGCTGTTTTTACTTTTGTAAATGTAATTACTATAAAGTTTAAAATTACATACATAATTCATTCTACAAGAGAGCACTCTTATTGATACCTAAAGGATAACAGGAGAACATTATGAAAAACTTTGTGCCCATAAATTCAACAATTTAGATGAAACGGACAAAGTCTCTGAAAGATAGAAACAACTAAGCTAATTTAAAAAGAAATAGATGATCTGGGGGTTTGACTGAAGTGGTAGAGTGTCTACCTAGCAAAAAGAAATAAATAACCTTAGTAGTATTGTATCTTTTAAAGAAATTGAGATTATAATTTAAAACCTTCAATTTAAAGTACCTAGAACATATTTGAACATTATCTAGCAAAGTGTCAATGTAGTGGTGAATTGTCCTCATTTAAATCATACGGATTTATAGAACAGTGTTCCTCAAGTAATTTGGTCTCAGGAGACTTTTATGCGCTAAAAAAATCTTGAGGACCGCTAAAGACTTTGTTTGAAGAGTTAGTTCTATTTTTATTTTCCATGTTAGAAGTTAAAGCTGAGAAGTTTTTAAAAGACTTACTTAAAAATAGCATTAGTAAATTCATGTACACGTGGATGATTTTTTTAAATGAAAAAAGCAGAAGAGTGGCCTTGTACTCTTTGTAATGTTGGACACAGAAGACAGCTAGATTCTCTTGTCTGCCTCTGTACTAACTCCACTGCCATACATTGGTTTTGCTTAAAATATATAAAGAAAATTTGGCTACACACAAATAAGTAAAAGGAGAAGTATTTTAAAAGCCTGTCCAAACAATTGTGGATGTTCTTTGATACGGCACCAAAACACAGCAGATAATTAGTTTTGTAACAGTTACTTGCAATGTGGAATCTGGCAGCTGCAGTAAACTCTATTATATTGGTCTAACTTGAACTTGGAATGGAATTTTTTTAAACCATGTTTTATTTTACAACATACACATTGATAATTTACTGGTTCACTCCGGTTTAGACCTTCATATTGATACATTTCCTATATCCAATATAAGTATATTTGTTAGTATCATTGCCAGTCTTATCAGAAGTTATTAAATATTAGAAAGTTGGCAAGCTCATGATGGCAAAATACAGATTTTTTTTACCCCAATATTCTAGGTTTTGCTTGGAAGCTCAAATATATCTTTGGCAACAAGTTCTGTCAGTTATTTATTTTTTTTTAATGACAGACTCACTTCATTCATTTCCAAGAAAATTTTTGCCACATGTCCAGGTTTGAATAATCATAGCTTCGCTGACATTTGATGAAAAATCATTTGTTCAGCTTACAATTGAAACATTACTCAACTTACTTTTTTTTTTTTAAGATAACCATTGTACTTCTTTGTGCACACTCACATTTTAGCATACAGAACTTTTAAAAAAGAATCTGTGTAAAGGTCAAGATTTAATAAAACTAGCATTTTTACCAAAAGTGCGTAGTGGCTAACAATGAAATACTGCTAATATAGTTTGGTGCCACTGCCTTGATTAAGGCTAAGGCACCATTGGTTTCACCCACCAGTGCTTTTGTACTGTCTCTGTATCTCTAACATGGTGAAAGAAGCGAGTGGTGTGTCAGCTATCATTAAGTATGAGGGGAAGGGTTGTTAGATTCCATAATGCTTTTCTTTCTCCAGGCTGTTGGTATTGATGATTGCCTTGTAATTCTTCCTATTGTAGATGTTACAGTGCTAAAGTCTGGTCTTCCTAAAGAAGAGGAGGACGATGATCAGGCAGGCAGTATTCATAATCTACCAGTCACATCTCAGAAGCCATTGTATGATGGGCCCATGCCAACTCCCCGACAAAGGCCATTCCAGTCGAGTTCTACACCCTTACATCTCACACACAGATTCATGGTAAGCTTTACATCTGCACTTAACTTTAAAAATAGTTTTTCATCATCTTTTCTTACTATGTTTATTTTGTTGGCTAACAAATATTTTTATAAAACCTGATTAAATGAGTTGGAGCACTTTGGTTGATTATAATTTGTGGTTGATTTATTTTATGTTAACTCTTAGGTTTTAACTTTATTTTAAGATTATTGCTGAAAATCATGTTAAATAAAATTCTGCTTTGCAAAAATGACATAATAGACCTAAATATACATGACTGTGTCTTGTACTATCTCTTAGTATACTTGTAAACCTTATTTCTTATATTTGTTTTTATATAGACATATTGATTCTAAAACAACTACTTGTTGGAAGATGTTTTTAGAAGGCAACTCCTAGTATAATGTATTAGAAGGTGAGGAGTAGTATAAAAAAATACTGTGTGCCACTTTCTCCACACATTGGAATGTGAGCTTAATGCGAATAGACATTATCCTTTTATTTTTGTTTTTCACTGATATCGTAGGAATAGTGCAGTAGGAATTAATGAATTGATGAATGAAAATAATAGCCTTTTGCTTTAAATTTGAGAGCTTAAAAAGTAGTATTTCTATTTGTTGGTTATTTAGGTTTTCCACTTCTGATTTTACCTGTGGTCTTTTTTGAAAGATATAGGCCTGACATAAATTTTTATGTAAATAGTGATGTTCAATAATAAAACTTGACTGTCATTGGTAATGATTTATTGTAATATTTCATTAGTGTCAGTATTTTATTCTTAGTAATAGTTAACATTACTATACTGACAATGATTTTATTAGAAACACTAGAGTCTAGTGTGAGCCTATAGTTAACATTGGTGGAAGATAAGGTTTCCAGATGATGTCAATTTATGTTGACTTAAAAAATATATTTGTCCTATGCTATAAACTGTTAGGTGGAACAGAAAAATGATCTGTTGTCATTTGCTTCCATATCTATAAGTTTGGAAATGTTTCTTTTGAGGAATTTAATGATTCATTTGTTCAAAGGCCAATTGTAAGTACTTTTTTGTAATGATTATGTTGTTTTTTTAAATGTTGAATACTTCATTTGTATACTAAATAGGTATATCTGTACCTTCTCATGAAGAAAAGAATAATTAGTAATTGTAGCTCAGATACTACTGCTGTATAAAACTAGAGTTCTATGAGCTGTGGCAGCTTATATAACCTAAACCATGATAAAGATTGAATTTCAGTATTTATAATTTGTAGTAGTGTAGCCCAGTGATTCTAGGAACTTCAGTTTTTCTCAGACCTGTATTTAATTTTGTATGTTTGTAGGTGTGGAATTCTATTGGAATTATTCGTTGCTATAATGATGAGCAAGACAATGCCATAGATGTGGAGTTCCATGACACCTCCATACACCATGCAACACACTTACCAAACACTTTGAATTATACAGTAGCTGATCTTTCCCATGAAGCTATTTTGTTGGCATGTGAAAGCACTGATGAACTAGCAAGGTAAATTCAAGATTGTTAGGAAGACTTGGCACTGTTGAACTGTTAGATAAAACTCTATCTTTATAGTATAAATCTTCAAAAGGAAGTGTTTGAATCAAACAGCACACCCTCAGAACATGTCTGCTTTGCTCTCATTGTCTTCTCAACATTCTCTAGCTACATGTCAAAATGACATGACATTTATAACAGAAGAGAGATATCTTCACTGTTATAACTAATACATGTTCATTGGAAAAACACAGAATTTTAAGGAAATGAAAATTTCCTTCACAATCCTGTTCTCAGATATGACTACTGTTAACAGTTTGGCATGTATCCTTTTAGATATCTTTCTATATGAATCCTACCTCTATTGAAGTATATTTCTATACCATAAAGTACAACCATTTTAGGTGTACAGTTTGATGAGTTAACAGATGCATATATACTCAGGAAGCCATACCACTGTAATCAAGATACAGAATATCTTTTAGTTCCCCAAAATCTTTTGTAGTTAATTCAGAACTGCTTTAGATAACTACTGATCTGGGTTTGTGTTTTTGTTTGTTTGGTTTTTTTTACTATAGATTAGATTTGAGACCTCTCTTTGAAAAAGTTTTTATTTACATTTTTTATCATCAGACACTAAGTGTATGAAGAGTTTCATTGTAAGATCTATAGATATATAAATATAGAGAAAAAATTCATGATAGAAAAGCATTGGTTGCAGAATGTTTTTTAAAATTTTAAAATGAGAATTACTTTTCTCATTTTATGAATTTATACCCAGATTCCCCTCTCTTAATCTCTTTTCTTGATACACTTGATGGATTTTACTATATCAGGTAATTTGAAATTAAAATCTTCCTTGCCGCTCATAAGATATGGTCCCTTGATGCTGGCAGAGAACTCAAGTGGTAGAGCACCTGCCTAGCAAGCGTGACACCCTGAATTCAAACCCCAGTACCATCAAAAATAATTTTAAAAAAGTATGGTCCACAAACTAGGGGAGTTGGGTGCCTAGGAATTTGGTGAAAATGCAGAATCTCAGACCCCACCCCAGCCCTTCTAAGTCAGAATCTGCATTTTTAACACAGTCTTAGGTAATTGAGTATATATTAAAGTTTAAGAAACATTATATTGGTTCATTTTAATTGGTGTCCTAATTTACACATTGTAGAATAAACTCAGCACTTAATTCATTTTTAATTAAATCAGTTTTTTTAAAATAAATCACTGGCTGGGGATGTAGCTCAGTGGTAGAGCACTTGTCTAGAATGTACAAAGCCCAAAGTTCCATCCCCAGCACCATTCAGTAACTTAGAAGTGAGTAAATCACCATTGACTCAGAATAGCTTGCATAACTAGAACATATATTTCCTTCTGGGATTTTGATTTTAGATACCTCTTTGTTCTCCTTACATATATCATTTCACAGCTCTATACAATATTAACTTTTTTAAAAAAATGAATATTAAGATTACTGTTCAGAAAATCACTAATACCTCTGATTTCAAGTTCTTACGGCATTTGTATTCTGAAGCTTAAAAGAACTTGTATTTGACAATAACTAACATTTATTTGTGTGCATATATATATATAAATGCCCAAAGGAAAAAGACTGGAAATACATTAAATTTAGCAGTGTTTAGTAGTCTTGCTTGTGGTACTATGTGTGATTTTTTTTTTTCTTTATCTTCTTTGTCCTTCCATGTTAACTTTTTTTTTCTTTTGCAATGAGAGAACTATTGAACTTTTTAATACTTCTGTCTTTTTGAAATTTGGATTCTAGTTTTATATGCCTGTATAATAAGAATCACCCTTGTTTTTAGTCTGCCTTTTTGCATTTAAAATTATGTTCTGAGCATTTTCCTGTATCTTTTAAACATTCTTCAAAAACAGGACTTAATGGTTTAATATAGTTCATTTTAAGGGTATTTCATGGGGCTAGGAGTATGGTTTAGTGGTACATAGAGATTACCTAGCATGCTCAAGGTATTGGGTCTATCCCTTGCACCAGAGACAGATACACGGGGTAGGAGGGTGGTGTTCATAATTAGTTAAATTATTTAAAACCAATTCTTGTGCTTGTAGCATATAATAGAAAAATAAACTATTAGTTTTATTGCTAAGTATCATGATTAGTTATGTATCAAATACCCCATATAAAAGTTGGATTGCTTCTGCCTTCTTTTACTTTTTAGCAAGCTTCACTGTCTGCACTTCAGTTCATGGGATTCAAGCAAAGAGTGGATAGTAGATATGCCTCAGAATGAAGATATTGAAGCCATTTGTCTTGGTCAGGGATGGGCTGCTGCTGCCACTAGTGCCTTGCTCCTTCGGTTATTTACTGTTGGAGGTGTTCAAAAAGAGGTCTTCAGCCTTCCTGGGCCTGTGGTGTCAATTGCAGGACACGGAGAACAGCTTTGTATTGTTTATCACAAAGGTTGGTTTTTGTAGTTTGTATGGTGACCTGAAGTAAAATGGAGCTCACTTATGTTTTTTTGTTGTTGCTCTTTTTGTTTTGGACTATATATCTCCTGTTGCATTTATTTAGTATTTGCATCAGTATAATTCCCCTCCAGTCCCCACCCTCCCATACTTGGGGTTTGAACTTAGGGCCTTGTGCTTGCTAGGCAAGTGCTCTACTGCTTGAGTCACGCCTCTAGTCCCCTGATTTGTTCATAAACAATTCCATTGAAAATACTTTGTTCTCTTGGCTTCTGTGTCATTCTTCTCTTTTTTCTTCCTCACTGGCAACTCCTTTTTTGCCTCTTTTGTTGGCTCTTCCTTTTGTGCTGACCTTTTAGTTGAAATTAGCCCTTCTTCTCTAGTACTCTCTGAAGGTCAGGGATTTTGATGGGCTTAGCCACAGTAAAAAATAGATTCTGCATTGCTATTTTGTACACGTCTATAAGTGTAACTGAAGTAAAGGTCTCATGGATAATACTTACTATAAATTCCATTTTTCTTTAATGCTGGTTGCAATGCTAAATTACTATTATGACTCATGGGTCAAAAATGCAGTTTGCAGAACTACTCTAGGGCATTTTATCAAAATTCATGGTTTTAAATATATGTGTTCATTACTTTAATTTGATATGACCAGTTCTATGTTATTATGTCTTCAGATTTGCACATCCAGTTGCTCACTTGAAATCTGTATAGGGTTTTAACAGATATTCCAAAATTAACTTTGTCATAATAAAACCTTTGAATTTTTTTTCCTTTCATACTTGGTTCTTACATAGTTTCCTCAGTTTGGTAAATAGCGTGTAAACAATCCAGTTACTCAAGACAGAAAACTACAAGCTACATCAACTCCATCAGAAAAATGATATCATCCTTTTAATTCTATGAAGTAGCACCTTCCAAATCTGTCTTCTTTGTTTCCTACTACCACCTCAGTCCAATCCATATGTCATGTCTTAGGCTTATAGCCTCCTAATTAGTCTTTTAGCTCAATTCTTGCCTTTCTGATTCTATTCTCTACCTGGCTGTCTGGGTGATCTTTTAAAAACATAGATCACCTCCCTCTTCTGCTCAAATTTTTCTTACTTTCCTTCACTTTTAGAATAACATACTACCTGTCATTGCTGGCAAGGTGTCATGCTGACGCTGCATAAGCTGGCCTTTTCCTGCCTCTTCAACCTCATCTCTTGCCACTTTCTCTCCTTACTAATTTTGGCTGCAGTGACCGCTTTGTGTTCTTGGGCCTCAGGGCCTTTCCATTAGCTGTTCCCTTTGTCTGCTACAGTGTGCCCTCCTCTTAACATTTGCATGGCTGGCTCAAACTTGCAATTCATATCTCAGCTTAAATTTTACTTAAAAGGCTACCTCTTACTATCAATGTACAGTAACCACTCATTCTGGTATTCTATCACATTATTATTTTATTCTTTAGTTGCAGTTTTTGCTCTTTTGTTTTTTAGTTTGTCTTCTCCTACCCGAATATGAATTTCTTAAAAACGGTGACTTTGTTGACCATCAGAGCCCTATTGCCTAGACTAGTGCCTATGACATAGTAAATTCTCTATAAGTGTTTCTTGAGTTAATTAATGATCACTTCATATAAATAGTACATGTCACATATTTTGCTTCTAAGACCTGAACAGTGCCTCATGTGGTTTAATCATAAAAATAGTGCTAGTTAGCCTAAGGATTTATCACAAAATTAGTTCACAGAAAATAAGGCAGTCTACATTATGCTGAACAATCTTTAATATCTGACTTATACCTATATTTTCTCTTTAGGTACAGGATTTAATGGAGATCAATGCCTTGGAGTTCAACTACTAGAGCTGGGGAAAAAGAAAAAACAAATTCTGCATGGTGACCCTCTTCCTCTTACAAGGAAATCCTACCTTGCTTGGGTTGGGTTTTCAGCTGAAGGCAAGATAAATTTATTTCATGTTAAAGACATTTTCAAGAAGAAAATCATTTCATTGTTTTATTCCTAATTAATTTCTTTAAAGATAAGTCATCTGTATTTTCCAAAACTTCTGAATTTTAATATGTTGGTAGAACTATTAGAAGTTGTTAGGCAAAGTAGCCATTATTTCATGTACAAGATTTCCCCATGATAATTCTGATTAGAAAATTTACAAAGGAAATGATATTTAAGGAGGAAATTTAAATCATCGGTAAAGTTGTATGTTTTCTAGCAGATTGTACACAAAAATTAGGAATGTTCTGGAGCTGTACTATCCACAAGAATAACTACTGTCTATATGTGACTATTGAGCCATTAAAGACAGTATGAAAAAATATATAAAAAGTAGTAATTCTTTTGCATTGATTACATAGTAATCAATAGTAAATGATAATATTTTGGATATATTGAATTAAATAAAATATATTATACAAATTAATTTCCCCTGTTTTTAAAGTAGCACTACAAAATTTAAAATGGTATCTGTGGCTCACATGATGTTCCTATTAGACAGTGCTGTTGTTCACCCATTTTTATAGGGCTTATGACAGGTGATTTGAAAGACAAAGCACCTGTTAACCCTCTTTCAAGGGCCCTGTTTACATCATTGGAAAAAACCTCGGTTTAGCTGGGCACTAGTGGCTCACCTGTAATCCTGGCTACTTGGGAAGCTGAGATCAGGAAGATTAAGGTTTGAGGCTAGCCCCAGTAAATAGTTTGCGAGACTCCATCTTCAAAAAGTAACCAGAGCAAAATGAACTGGAGGTGTGGCTAGAGTGCTTGTTTTGCAAGCACAGAGTCTAAAGTTCAAAAATCCCAGGCCCACCAAAAAAACCCCTCAATTTATCTTTAAAGTACCAGCCATTTATGGATTTGTTTTCTACTAGTTAATAGTGTCACCATTCTTAGCTTCAATTTCTGTAGCTTTTTCTTTTCCCAAGTATCAATCAGATCCAGTCCCTGAAGAAAGTGATGTTTGCAAAGTGAGAGGGGTATGAAGCCACAGTTAAGAAAAGTGGTAATTAGATAACTGTCATGTACTTCCTGAGGTGGGGAGTAGAGGAGGTGGGAGCAGTGGTGCTTAATGTTTTCCTAGGAGTGATGAGGCCATCAAAGAAGAAGGGGAAAGAGTCTAAAGTCACTTTTGTTTACATCATCACCTTATATCATTCTGGTTATTTTATCAAATTTCTCTTAAATTTTCAGATGCATGTTTAAATTTTTTTTTTAAACTAAAATTGGCTTATAAGTAATTATCGTTATGTTCCAGCAGGTGGCATAGTTTTCACTGAAACTATTAGCTTTTTCTCTTTTTTATTTATTTATTTTTTGATGTGCACTTTTTTTTATTGGTTTATTATTCATATGTGCATACAACGCTTGGGTTATTTCTCCCCCCTGCCCCCACCCCCTTCCTTACCACCCACTCTGCCCCCTCCCTCTCCCCCCACCCCCTCAATACCTGGCAGAAACTATTTTGTCCTTATCTCTAATTTTGTTGAAGAGAGAGTATAAGCAATAATAGGAAGGAACAAGGGTTTTTGCTAGTTGACTCACATTACTTTCCTGTGTGTGTGTGTGTTACCTTTTAGGTTAATTCTTTTTGATCTAACCTTTTCTGTAGTTCCTGGTCCCCTTTTCCTATTGGCCTCAGTTGCTTTTAAGGTATCTGCTTTAGTTTCTCTGCGTTAAGGGCAACAAATGCTTGCTAATTTTTTAGGTGTCTTACCTATCCTCACCCCTCCCTTGTGTGCTCTCGCTTTTATCGTGTGCTCAAAGTCCAGTCCCCTTGTTGTGTTTGCCTTTGATCTAATGTCCACATATGAGGGAAAACATACGATTTTTGGTGTTTTGGGCCAGGCTAACCTCACTCAGAATGATGTTCTCCAATTCCATCCATTTATCAGCGAATGATAACATTTCGTTCTTCATGGCTGCATAAAATTCCATTGTGTATAGATACCACATTTTCTTGATCCATTCGTCAGTAGTGGGGCATCTTGGCTGTTTCCATAACTTGGCTATTGTGAATAGTGCTGCAATAAACATGGGTGTACAGGTGCCTCTGGAGTAACCTGTGTCACAGTCTTTTGGGTATATCCCCAAGAGTGGTATTGCTGGATCAAATGGTAGATCAATGTTTAGCTTTTTAAGTAGCCTCCAAATTTTTTTGGGTAAATTTTAGTCATATCACTTGAAGTTTGTTCAGTTAGGTCTTACTCTCTGTGGTTATGTAGTTATGAAATTTTACAGGAAGTAATCTTCAGTTTTTGCTTCTTTTTAATGGAAGTTGAATCTTTGATATGTATTTTTGAAATAAGATTTATTTAACAAATATGTAGCTATATCTCCAAGTGATTTTTTTGGTTGGTATATAGGTACCCCCTGTTATGTGGATTCTGAAGGCTGTGTTCGAATGCTTAACAGAGGACTTGGCAACACATGGACTCCTATATGCAACACAAGGGAACACTGCAAAGGAAAATCTGATCACTACTGGGTGGTTGGTATCCATGAAAATTCCCAGCAACTGAGGTGGGCCATTAAAAAATGTGTAAAGATGACTCTTTTTTAAAAAGTACTTTGAGACGGTGCCAGTGGCTCACCCCTGTAATCCTAGCTATTCGAGAGGCGGAGATTGGGAGGATTTCAGTTCAAAGCCAGCCTGGGCAAATAGTTTGCAAGACTCTATGACAAATACATACATCACCCAGAAGGGCTGGCAGAGTGGCTCAGGTAGTAGAGTGCTTGCCTTGCAAGCATGAGGCCCTGAGTTCAAACCCCAGTACCACCAAGAAAAAGAAAAAAAGTATTTTGATTTTTTTTCTATGAAGCTCTTTAAGGTTATTTGTCTTTCATCTTACTTAGTCTGTTTACTTGCTTTCCATAGTAAATAAATTGGGAATTTGTTTATATTCACTTTGAAGTTTTCCACCAGTTAATTTACTTGAAATATGTTGAGCAGAAGTTTATCAGTATGACCTTAGCATCATTTCAGTCAGACAGGGAGAGGAGTTCTCTTCAGATGCTGTTTCGTCTTTTATTACAGTCTTTTTATTTTAAAGTATGATTTAGAATTTAATATACATATATATATATATATATATATATATATTCCACTGCTTTTTTTTTTTTTTGCTTAATTATTGTAGTAGGGGAGGTGGCTAGTAGAAATTTAATTGTTGACTACAAGTGTGGAATTCTCTGATCATATAGACTCGACACAATATTGTCTTTAAGATTTCCTGCTTTTTGTCATTTACTTTTTTGAAAATCTGATGTTAATGCCAGTCTGGGCTACATAGCAAGACTCCAGCTCAGCCACCCCTTTCTCCCCTACAAAATAAAGAATGAAAGAGCCTTAAACCAAAAAAAAAAAAAAAAAGATTTCCTGCTTTTTTGATGCTTGATATCCTCTTGTTTTTGCAGTAATAAGGTTTAAACTCAGGGCCTCACACTTGCTAGGCAGGTGCTCTACCGTTTGAGCCATGCCCCCACCCTTGAAATCCTCTTGGTCTAAAAGAGTGCTAGTTAACATAGAATAGGTAGTTGGTGAATGAAGAGGTCTCTGCTTTCATCAAGCTTATGATGTGATTGGAGAGACAGATAACAGAAACAAATAAAATATTAATTACCACTTTAAATTCCACTAATTAATTTGACTTGATCCTTGGTGGGTGATCATAAAAGACTCTCAATAGAAGTAGCATTTAAAATGGAGCCTCACTGTGAGCATGGAATCCAGTGGTAGGTTATTTTCTTAGCATGTGCGAGGCCTTGGGTTTAATCCCCAGTATTGTAAGTAAGTAAGTAAATAGGTAAAATAAAACTAAATAAAATAGAGCTTTGAGGCCAAGGAGTCTGTCATAGAAGAATGGAGTAAAACATGTCCCACGTACTATCAACAGCATGTACAAAGGCCCTGAGGTTAGAAAGAACTTGTATACTTTAGGAATGGAAAGGGTGTGAACATGGCTATAGTAAATGAAGATTCAAGAATGTATTAGAATGTAAGACTTAAATCCAAAGGAGAAATTTTGACTGGAGATAAAGATTTGGGAATTACCAGAATATATAAGGTATTTAAACTCATAATAATAAATGTGATCACTTAGAGGGAGGAAAGAGAAGAAAAAGGTCTCAGGAACCAACCCTAAGAAATGCCAACATTTAGAGGTCAGATATTGGAGTAGGAGCTTTTGAATTAGCAAAAGGATAAACTAAGGGATATGAAAAAGTCACCTGAAGAGTGTTATATCACAGAAGCTGTTAATGAAGACAATTTGAAGCCAGACACAATAGTCAGGAAGGGAAATACAATTGACCCTCAAATATATGAAAAGATGATTAAGCTCAGTTAATGTAAATACAAGCCAAAACTAAAGAATTTTTTATTAAATCTTTATCAGATTAGAAAAAAGCAGAAAGTTTGGTAATCCTCCTGATTGATGAGACTGGAGACATAATCAGAGTCAGGCATTGCTGATGAGAGTGTAAATTGATACAGTCCATTGTGGAGGGCAGTTTGCTAGAATTAGACATGCATATACCCTTTGACCCTATCATTCTGCTTTTAGAATTTGACCTACAGGTACACAAGTGCTGGCTATTTAAAGTGTGATTCATGAACCATCAGTATCAGCATAACCAGGATCAGGAAGCTGCATTTTAACAATACCCTGAGATCTTTTTTTTTCTCCGTGCTGAAGATCGAACATAGGGCCTTGTGCATATCAAGCAAGCACTCTGCTATTGAGCTATATCCACAGCCCTAAATAATTATTTTTTGTTTGCTTTTTGAGACAGGGTCTTGTTAAACAGCTCAGGGCAGCCTTGAACTCCTGGCTGACCTTCTGCTTTAGTCTCCCAAGTGCTGGGATTACAGTGTGCACTACCATTGCCTGGCTTCGTGTACACATAAAAGCTTAGAAAATTACTGCTACTAGCACATATGAGATGTGATTTAAAAGGTATCCTACATGTAGGGTTATTAATATTAGCAAAAGATCGAAAACCTATATTTCCAAATATATATATTGTATAACTATATCCTAGAATACCATATAGCTTTTAAAAAGAGCAAATAAAATCATTTATGTGGTAAAGGCCTTGTATCCAGAGTTCTTGCCTAAAAAATTCTAATAACTTAGAAAAAGATGACCCAATTAAGAAATGGACAAACAATTTGAATCAGCATTTCTCCAAAAAAAATATTCCCTGGCAAATAAGATAGTCAGCATTGTTAGTCATTAGGTAAGTACAAATAAAAACCACAAAGAGACACTAATTCACATCCATTCATGTTCATACATGTATTCAATAATCTTCGTAGGTACCTAGGAGTGGAACAGCTGGGTCATATACCACTGAGCTACACTCACAGCCCCAAAGTACCATTTTATATCCCCAGGAACAGTGCTAGTTAGGGTCTAATTTCTTCACATCCTACCAGTTGTTACTGTGTGTCTTTCTGATTAGTCATCTGAGTGGATGTGAATTAGTTCAACTTAGTACTGCACCCCCCCCCCAAAAAAAAAGAAGCATTGCACTTGAAACCAGGTGTGGTGCACACCTGTAATCCCATTACTTAGTTGGCTGAGCGAGAGGATCATGAGTTCAAGGTCCATCCTGGGCTACATAGCAAATAGCAACATTCTATCTCAAAAAAAAAAAAGCTTGTACCTGAATGTTCATAGTAGATTTATTTATAATAGCTAGAAAGTGGAAATAATGCAAATGTCCACTAAGTGAATGGATAAGAAAATGCAATCTATCCAGTATTGCTGGACTTTTAGAAAAAGGTAAAAGTACTAATACATAAGTATGGATGAACCTTGAAGACTATGCTAAGCAAAAAAAACCAGGTGAATAAGGCCATATGTTGTATGGCTCCATTTAGATGAAATGTCCAGAATAGGCTGTCTGTTCAGATGGAAAGTGTGTTGCTGATTTCCAAGGGTGGGGAAGAGAGTAGAACAGAGACTCAGGAATAACTATTCATGGGTATGGGATTTCTTTTGGGGAGATGAAAATGTCTTAGCATTAGTGATAAAAAATGCACAGCTCTGTGAATACACTAATATAATATGACTAAAGTATATTCCATGTGAATTGTGCCTCAATAAAATTATTACTAAAAGGAATGAGGACACCATGTAATGGTATGGACAGATCTGCAAGATGTGTTAAGTGAAATCAATACCATTTGTGTAAAAAGGAGGAGAGAATAAGAATATATAGCTGTGTTTGCTTATATGTGCAAGAGAACTCCTGAAATGTAGAAAGGAAACTAGTAGTAGTTAACTGGTAGAGATGAACTCAGTGGATGTATAGAAGATTTTTGTCCGTGTTCCTTTTTGTACTTTTTGAGCATGTAAATATATTAATTATTCAAAAAGTAAATAATTGAATTTTTAAAAATGAAAGCAATTCAACAAACTGAAGCATGTAAGGCCAGAAGTCAAGTTAATTGACAACTCGTACAAAACTAGTGTGAGTAGCATGATAAAATATTAAATTCCAGATAGGGGAGGGCATGGGAGGTGAAAGTAGAATATGTGGACCACTCTTTTCAAGAAGTTGGGCTATGAAAGAGGGTAGAGAGTGGGTGTTGTACCTAAAGGAGGGTGGGAAGTCAAAAAAGGGATTTTTTAGCTTGGTCACAGTTCTGCAGCATTTTTAGTCTTTTGGCAACAGATTTAGTAAGGACGGTGAGATTAGCAATGTAAAAAAAGAAGAAACGGGTAATTTTTTTTTTTTTTTTTGAGACAGGATTTTGCTATGTAGTTCATGCTGGCCTCGAGTTCATGATTCTTGTGCCTCAGCTTCCTGAGTGCTGGGATTATAGATGCATACTACAATGCCTGGCTTCTAGTGCAGGTTTTTATATGAACATGTGTTCAGTTCTTTTCATTGTATGGCACAGGATGAAATCTTTAAAAGAAAAGGGGAGGGGGGCTAAAACAGGAAGAGGGAAGAAGATAGGTACAAATGTAAGTAAATTTAAAAGTTGAAAGATGACAGAAATTCCTTCATTCTGCTCTTGGCTTCTTTAGGCAGCTTATGAAGCAAGAACAGGGATATTTTTGGAGTCTGTGGTTGGCATTGTGGCATTGTTGAAAAGGTAAAATACAGTCCTCTTAGACATTGCCAAAATGAACTTAGCATAGAATCATATAGGAATTGCTGCTTACTTCCATACATTTTGCCTTTATAAAGTCTCCAGATAGTCCATTATTGGAGTAATTACTATCATAAAGGATATAATAACTTTGTTTTTAAACTGGGTGCTGGTGGCTCATGTCTGTAATCCTAGCTACTTGGGAGGCTAAGATTGGAAAGATCAGGGTTTGAGGCCAGCCTGGGCTAATGATTCATGAGACTCCATCTCCAAAATAACCAGAGCAAAATGGACTGGAGGTGTGGCTCAATCAATAGAGCACCTGCTTTGTAAGCATGAAGCCCTGACTTCAAACCCCAGCCCCACCAAAAAAAAAAAAAAAAAACCAAAAGAATACATTAACTTTTTCACAGACTTTAGGATGTAGGTTCTTAGGACTTTCTTGCATGTCCATTTCTAGAAGTCAGATTATTTAGTAATTAAAGAATTCACTTTATCTTAATAGAGGGTTATGGTTTGAACTCATGAGGGTTTTTACTATTCTGTGTTAATGCTTAACTCAAGTGAAGATGATTCATTTTGGTAGTGAATGTCATTATCTTAAGGATGTTTGTGAAATCATTTACCATGAGTAATTTTGTTTTTTCATTTAATTTAATAAGTACTTCTATCAAGCTCAACTTTTATATTCCTAGTAATTTATACAACTAGCTTTCTTTTCTTATCTGCCTTTCTGTAAGATTTATAGAGTTTTAACTCTTAACTCTCACTAAAAGCTATATAATTATAGCTGGTACTACTTAACTGTTAAATTCAACATGGATAAAGAAATAATGGACTCTAAATGACAGCTTTTGGACTTGTGAGGGTTTTAGAAATTGTCTAGGCCAGTGGTTCCTGACATTTTCAAATATAAGAGCCCTTTTTAAAGGATGGCTATTCCATGACCTCCTCTGATAGTAGTTGTACATGTAGTAACAGTACATGCACAGTTCTGTTCACAGTAACAGAAGCTTCTATATGAAGGCCTAAAAATTATATTTTCCTAGGAATTTGTATTTATTAATTGCATCATCTGCATGTAAATATTCTAGGTCATAAAATAGAAAATATTTTTGTATTCAGTGTGGACAATTCATGGTACCTAAGTGAATTCATCACGGGCCCTTTTAAGACCTCAGCAGTCCAAAAGGGATTAAAAAGAATAGTACCTACTTCTGGCCAGTGGCTCATGCCTGTAATCTTAGCTACTTGGGAGGCAAAAATCAGAAGGATTGCGGTTTGAGGCCAGCCTGGCAACAAAAGTGATACCCTATCTCAAAAATACCCAATTCAAAAAAGGGCTGACGGAATGGCTCAAGTGGTAGAACGCCTGCCTAGCAAGTGTAAGGCCCTGAGTTCAAGCCCTAATACTGGAAAATGTATGAATATATATATAGCAACTACTGGTTTCGTCTGGTCCAGTTCCTATGCTTGCTGCCTTTACACTTAACATCTCTCCTCTGTTTCTATACGTGGCAAAACTTAGGTTCTTAAAGGGTTAGTAACTTGTTTGAGATAATACAGCCAGTTTGTAGCAAAAACCTTATGTCTTGTGCATTAAAATAAAGGACCAATGGGAGTTGAGTTGAAAAATACATTGCACAAATAAGCACTTCTTCCTTAAGGATCAGTCTGTTTTAGGAGAATAATTGAGTTACTTAGCAGAGTCTTAATACAGCAGACATTTGAAACACTCAAGTGTTTCAACAGTAAAAAGTCTGTTTATGAAAATGTATTTATGCTGGGCATTGCAGTGCACACTTGTAAACCCAGCATTTGGGAGGCTGAGGCAGGAGGATCATGAGTTCTAGGCCCACTAGCAAGACCCTGTATGTCCAAAAAAAAAAAATTATTTCAAGGTGTTTTCCTTTTTCACTGCCTTTATTCTGAAAGAAATGTTTTTCAGAGATTGGAAATTGAACTATTCAGTATGATTGATTTACTTTTTTTCTATTTATGTAATTAGATTTGAAAATTGTATTAGCATACAGTAGTTGTACAGGGGGATAATAGTGTGGTATATCTTAGTTAGATTTACTCCATTATTCTCCCTCTTCCCTCCCTCCCCTTTCTCCGAACAATTCAACAAGGTCTCATTCTTTCTTCTGTTTTCATATATGAATACAAAATACATCCACCATATTCACCCTCATCCTTTCCTTATTAACTCCACCCGCCCCCCCCGCCACGGGTACCTCCTTCAGAAAAGATTTATTTTACCCTCCTGCCTTTCTTTTTTTCTTTTTTTCTTTTTTTTTTTTTTTGAGACACTCTCAGAAGTTTGAGGCTGGTCTCAAATTTGAGATCATCCTGCTTCAACTTCCCAAGTGCTGTGATTATAGGTATTCGCCACCATACTTGGCTCTAGGGCACTTTTTTTTCTTCCCACTTCACTTTTCATACCTACTTTGCTTATATTTAAACACATTTAGAGATGATTGATTTCCTACTATCAGTAGAGATGAAGTACAAGGAGGAAAATTCTGTAATCTCTTTTAGTAGCCTGCCTCTGTGTTTAATGAGACTTACCAATCTTTGCTATCAAGAAATTTATCCTTGTATTTATTTAAATTTCTAATGCTTCTGTCTGCTGTCAGTGTTTGTTGTAAAGATAGCAAGCCACATACTCCTCTGGAAAGGCATGTTGCTTAGTGGACACAGCTCAGACTCAGTCACACTGCCTGCTGTGGTGTCCTGACTGAACTGCTTACTGGGCGCCCTAGTGTGTTCCTGTACTACACAAAGATAAACTTTGCAGTCTGGAAGAGGTAGGCTTGTAAAACATCATTATGTTACTTCTGAATACGTACTTTAAAAAGAAGTGTGAGCAAAGTTCTTTCAAACACAGATGGAGTCCCAACACAGAAGACAAAGCAAAACTTGCTGACTGGGGAAGAAATCAAATAAAGTTTGAACATTGACCTCAGTTTTCTGCAGTTTGATAGTTTTAAACATTTCCTTTAACAATAGAGCAGATTCTGTGATCAATTTGAAAAAGGAATTCAACTGTGGTTTATATTTTCTCCTACAAATAGTTTAAGCACCTGATGAGGTGAATCTCATCAGATTATCAGTCAAAATGTGTATTTTTCCCTCTAATTCCTCAGTGAGAGGGATATTTAACAGAAAGTCCTCAGTTCAAGTTTTTAAAGTAATCAGTATTTCCTTTTTGTTTGTGATAACTTTTGCTAAATCATATAAAGTTTTGGGCTGTGAAATGTTTTTAAATGAAAGATGTCATTTTATAGACAAGTAGAATGTTTAGACAAAAGTTAGTGTTTGTCCTAATTTTGTGAATGTGTTTTTATGTATGTTATTGTACTTCTTTGTGAATGCGTGGGTTCTGTCTCTTTCATTTCGCCCAAGGAGTAAACCAGTGGGTGTTGTGAATAGTGCATGGCAGTTACCACAGAGGTTTTTCAAATTCAAGGTGTTCACACTGTCTCATCAGACTCTGCTGAAAACTGCTGATTTCAATAAAATAATAAAAGGGTTGGAGGAAGAAAGGAAAATAAGATTATATGTTCAAAAAATTGAACTCTAAAACATGTTTTATTTTTATTGTCACAAAAAAGGAGAAGCGTTCGCATCTCATCAGGAAGGGCATATATGTAGTTTGAACAACATTCCTAGGTATTGTCACTTACTTTTTGGGAGGAGGGAGTTTCTCATCAGCTGGAGAGTAGATAAGGGGACCATATCAATAGTCAACAATTGTAAGAAAGTTCTTAAATGAGTTCCATACCTTCAAAAAAAATTACTAACATATATTAGTTATAGTATAGGAGGGTTTCATTGTGACATTTCTATACATGCCTACAATGTACCTTAGTTAAGTTGTCACTTTTAAATTACTCTAGTAGGTATTCAGTAATACTAGAAGGTATTTATGAAAACAAATTTAAACCCAACAGCCTAATTTCTTCTTAGTATTTCTCTTCAAAAATGGCTTGACTTAGCTGGTGGCTCACGCTTGTAATCCTAGCTACTTGGGAGACTGAGATTGGAAGGAACTGATTGGACCAGCCTGGGCAAAAATAACCAGATCAAAATGACCTGGAGTGTGACTCAAGCAGTAGGGTGTCTTCCTGGCAAGCACAAATCCTAGTCCCACCAAAAAAAAAAAGAAAAGAAAAGAAAAAAGGCTTGACTATTAATAAGCACTTTGGCAGAGTATTGTGTTTGTAACACGCCTTTATGAAAATAGATTTGTCGATGGTGCAATCTTGATTTCCTAGCAATTTTCTATTAAATCATTTGGAGTACATAAATTGAAAGAATATTGTATATAAATATATCATTCTGTGGTTAATGAATGCTTTTTAATTAAATCGAATGTCTTACATATCCAAGCCAGAAAAGATTTAGACAAAGTCCTCACTACTGCCATATAAGGCAACCTTTGATGTAACAGCTGGATGGATTGTAACCTTTTTAATAATAACGGACTTTCTGCTCCACTGTCATATCTAGTAAGCACTTCTGTTTATACATTTTACTATCTTTTTCTCTAGTTTAACACTTTCCATTGGTACCAAGTGTTCCCAAATTGATAAATGAAAGTGAATATATTCTGTCTGAATTTATTTGGGAGTGATCTGCTCGATAACAAGAATCCTGTGATAAGTGTTTATGGCACAATTTGTCTTATTTTTAAAGTAGGCGGTTTGCTAAGGAAAATACAAAGAGAACTGGCTTAGCTTTTAGTGATTATTACTTAATAAAACTAATGTGAGAAGAGATTTTGAAATTTTATAAATACACCGAATGATAGTTTTATACCTAGTCAGGTGTAACACTTTTTACAAAAAGTAATTTGTTATGTGTTACTAATCCACCCATTGGAAAGATGTTACTGTTCGTCATTACTAACTTTGAAACATGTTGGCTTTAGCAATTTTGTGACATTTTAGAGTTTTTATAGTGGGACTTTTTCTTTACTAACAGGTGCATCCCTTGTAAAGGTTCTCGGTTTCCTCCCACGCTTCCACGCCCTGCTGTAGCTATATTATCCTTTAGACTTCCTTACTGTCAGATTGCAACAGAGAAAGGGCAAATGGAGGTATGTCAAAGTCTTCCCTTACTCTGAATTGGATAGTACAGTGTCTGTGACATGGATATTTAAAGATTATCATGATGACCAGTGTTAGATATCTATTCCTCTGTAATTAAATAAATAGTGGTAGCAGGGAAGGGGTTACTGCTTATGATCACCAAGCCATCTGGTTGCCATCACAGCTTCCAGGGACTTAGTCTACAAAGTGAAAGGTTATGACCATCAGTGTCTTACCATGTAGTAAGCCTGTGTCTTTTAGGATCGGGCAAGTCCTCCATACATTTTGTGCAAAGCACCTGGCTCACCCCACCCTAGTCCTAAGTCCTGTGTCATTAAAACTCATTTCAAATCTTATAATTACTTATTCTAAATAAGGAGCAAACTGTCTTAAAAAAAAATAGTTTACCAAATTCTCTGAGCATTAACTATGAGGAACTTTTTTTTTAGGTACTGGGGTTTGAACTCAGAGTCTTGTACTTGCCAGGCTCTACCACTTAAGCCACTCCGCCAGCCCTCAAGCATTAAATTACAGATACCTAGGAAACTTTAAAGTACTATGTTCATAAGAATAGGAGATAACAGTCAAGCCATAATATCACATTGGAATTTGAATTGTAAAATAGCCTTATTGAAAGGAGCATTTCAGAAATATTTTATTCAGAAACTGGTATCTTCAGGTAAGTACCTAACACTTGCCTGACATTAAGGTAATGTTTGGCTCTAAGCAGTTTTATCCATTTTTGTAGGAACAGTTCTGGCGTTCAGTTATGTTTCACAACCATCTTGATTACTTAGCTAAAAATGGTTATGAATATGAAGAGAGCACTAAAAATCAAGCAATAAAAGAGCAACAGGAACTTTTAATGAAAATGCTTGCGGTGAGTAAAATAAATATATTGAAAAAATTCAAGTTTAATGCTTTTCCATAGGTTGAATTTCTTACAGATAGGTGAATTAGCAATAAGTTTTACCACCTAAGATTCTTAGGTTTTATCCAGTTATGTTTTTCTTCCTGAAAAGTTCTCTTTCCCTCTTGTTGTAGTTAAAATATTTGAAATATTTCCTTGTAGCTAAGGTCATAGGCAGAAGTAAACTCTCCTAGTGCTGTGTGCCTTTCGCTTTTGCTTACCAAGCTGTGTTTTAACAACGCCTCCAGGTGACTGATGCTTAAGAGTTTGAGAACTATGCTCTGGCTCCTGCTTTTATGCTCCACAAAGCTTGTGTGTTTTCAGATCGCCAGTGTTGGATAGTTTTAAGAACTGTTCCCAGGCTTTTGGACACCTCTGCTTTTTGTCATCCTCCTGGAGTTAGACAGCTGTTTGTGGTTTGTGGCCAGTAGCCAAGTTTGGTGCCTTGGATTCTTAAGTACTTTTGTCTTTGGAACAGGGTATCTTAAAAGTTCATTTGTCCTCTTTCCAAGTTGGCTTATCAAAAGAAACATAATATCATTTTTTCTTTTCTGGACTTATACTAGACTGTCAACCTTTTTTTTTTTTTTTTAATTTTTAAATTTTTGTCGGTACTGGGGTTTTGAACTCAGGGCCTCATGCTTGCAAGACAGGCTCTTTACCACTTAAGCCACATCCCCAGTCCTTTTTTTTTTTGCCAACTTTTTTTTTTTTTTTTTTTGCTGGGGGAGCATCACTGGGGCTTGAACTCAGGACCTCACACTTGCTAGGCAGGCATTCTACCACTTGAGCCACTCTACCAACCCAGCTTTGGTTATTTTTTTAGATAGGGTCTGGCAGTTTTTGCCTAGGCTGGCCTCAGAAGTAAACTGTCCTATTTTTACCTCCCAATAACTGGGAAGGCAGGTATGTGCAACACCCCCAGCTTATTGGTTGAAAGCTTATTGGTTGAGATGGGTGTCTTGCTAACTTTTTGCCTGGTGTGGCCTTGAACCGAGATCCTCCCAATTAGCTGGGATTACAGGCATGAACCATCTTGCCTGGCCAAATTTTTTTTCTTTTTTTATTCTCCTTCCCTGTTGGGGTAGATGGCAGTTGGAAAACAAATTTAAGACAACCATATTTGGATTTTAAATTATTTTCTTATTTTCCTTGCACTGAACGACTTGAAATGATATGTCATATTTCATTGACTCTAAGCTACTATTGATTGTAAATGCACCATTATTTTATTAAGTCACTGAGACAAAAAAGACTGCCAAACTGACCCACTATTAATTGTAAGAAGCTTTCCAATTTCATAGATGTTAAATGTGTGAAAGTATGCATCTTAGAATCAGTGACATACTGTTCTGTTTTACTAGTATCAGTGTTTTAAAATTTTTTATTTCACTTTTTTTTTTTTCTTTTTGGGTTAGCTGTCTTGTAAACTGGATCGAGAATTTCGCTGTGTGGAACTTGCTGATCTAATGACCCAAAATGCTTTGAATTTAGCCATCAAATATGCTTCTCGCTCTCGAAAATTAATATTGGCCCAAAAACTTAGTGAGCTAGCCGTAGAGAAGGCAGCTGAATTGGCAGCAACCCAAGAAGAAGAAGAAGAAGAAGAAGAAGGAGAAGATTTCAGAAAAAAGCTGAGTGCTGGGTAAAAAATAGTCATTTGAATTTTACTTTATCATTGATTTTGCATAGCTCTTTATTATAGTCCTTTTATTATTATCATATTACTGTTGTACTGGGGATACATTGTGACATTTATAAAAGTTCTTACAATGTATCATAGTTGAATTCACCCTTTTATTATTGTCTTTTAGTTATAGTAATACTGCTACAGAGTGGAGCCAGCCAAGGCTCATAAATCAAGTTGAAGAAGATGTTGAGAGCAGAGGAGGAACTGATGATACAGAAGAAAAACCAGAACTACATAAGCATGGTGAGGTGCATTTTCAAGACAATAGAAAATGTTTGCTTGGCTGAGGCAAGTTGAATTTGATGAATATCAAGAATGACTTTATTTTCCTCACTTACATTGTATTGTTTATATTAATTATAGGACAGAGCTCATTATCCAAAAGTGCAGATTCCTCTGATACGCCAACTATTAAGTCAGGTTAGAAATGTTTGTAAATTTGTAATGTCAAGGAAATTTTGCAAGTAGCTTCTGAAGTGATTTATCTATCTTCCATTTTAGGACCTATTTGTTGTTGTTGTTATTGTTTTTATCAGAGATTTTGTTTGTGAAACTGAACATTTAATATGTACTTGTTAAATGCCTACTGTGTGTCCGCCATTTTGCCTGGTGGGGTTAGAGAACTCAAGTAGACATTGAGTTGATCCCTAGCTGGAAAGAGAGATGTTGATGACAGATCTGGGTCTCACTAAGGAAACAGGATGTTGGAGAAACAGTTAAAAGGAATTGGAAGTTAGCTCCTTTTGGGACTGGGAATAGGAAGGTTAGAGTAGAGACTGCTTTTTTACATATATGTAAACCTTATAGTGCCATTAAATTTTTTAAAGTTGTGTACATACATTACTTTGCTGTTTTAAAATTGTGTGTGTGTGTGTATAAAATTTTTTGGCAGTATTGGGGTTTGAACTCAGGGCCTTGCAATTGCTAGGGAGGTTCTCTACCACTTGAGCCACACACCTCCAGCCCATTGTGTACGTCCATTACTTTGATAAAAGATTCATGTTAAGCTGTGTGATGGCACATGCCTATAATTCCAGTACTTAGGAGGCTGAGGCAAAAGGATCACAAGCTCAAGGACAGCCTCAGCTACATAGCAAGACCCTATCTCCAAAAAAAAGTTGTTTTTAATATATAGAGTATTAAAAGAGTATATAATTAGCTATAATCCAGTTAATAGTGGAGAATGAGTATCCCAAGGAAGTCCTCATGGAGTATTTAAAACCGAGACTGGCAGGATGAACAAACCAACGGGGTACAGGTGAATGGGAGCGGAAACTGGAGAAATGGCACAAGTGAAGACTGTAGAAGGGAGGTGTAAAGAGCATAAGGAGCAGGAGAAAGCAGGACTGGAGGGCTTTGGAGGGGTGGGCAAGAGACAAGTCGTGCAGATGTTGTAGACACATTAAGGATTCTGATCTTTATTCATAGGTCTCTGGGAGGGTGTTTTAAGTTCTAAGCAGGATCAGAGCATGACACAGAGTACCCAGGGGGAGTGAACATAAGACTACTAAGCAGTCCATGTGAGAGATTGAGTAGTTACTTGGGCTAGGTGGTGATGGCGATGATAGAGTTGTAGTGGTGTTTCTGATGGAGTTTAGGAGTTCAGAGTGTGAAGAATGGTTTTGTTTTTTTGAATATTTGAGTAATGGTGATGCCATTCACTAAGTCAGGAACCACCTAGGAAGAAGCACATTTAGATAGGAAGGTAATCAATTATGAGATAAGTAGAGTGTCACATAGACAGTTGGATATTTGGATGAGGAACTCAAGAAAGTAGTCTGGCTTAGAGATACAAAGTTAAAATCATTGGCATAAGTAGAATAATTTAAACCATGAATCTGGATCAGCAGGCATTAGCTTATGCAAAGCAAGAAGGAAAATGAGCTTAAGCGTAGGGAATTCCCAACATTTAAGCATCAGGTAGAGGAAGAGAAGGAACCACTGAAAAAGAATGCAACCACTGGTTCAGAGAGAAAGGGAGAAGTTAGGGAATGCAACATCCCACATTCAAGGGAGGAGAAAGTATTAAGAAAGGAACAGTCCGCTATAAAGGATGCCATTGAAAGGTCAAATAAGATGACTGAAAAGTATCCACCAGATTTGATCACATAAAGATTATCGAGAGCCTTAGCAAGAAGAGAATCTGTAGTAGGGCTGTAAATTGTGTTATTGTATGGAGGGGTGGATGTGCAGGAGGAGATGGGAGTAGCAGTGCCAATAGCTTTTGAAAAATTTGGCTGGATAAGGGATATGAAGACGGTTGCTGAAAGGAATGTGGAAAAGAGGGCTTGTTTTTGGCAATTTTGAGGTTTGAGCTTAGGGCCTCACACTTGCTAGGCAGACATTCTGCTGCTTGAGCCATGCCCAGGCCTGTCTGCTAATAGTTTTAAAAGTTGCAGAGTACCTTTATTTTCATATACTATAGATTAAAATATACTGTAAAAATCATGTGTCGTCTATGTTTTACCCCTATTAAGTGAAGATTTCTTTCTTGTGAAAGGTGCAGTTACCTCTGTCAACCAAGGACGAGTAAACCCCTTCAAGGTAAACTCTTTCCAGTGATATTTCTATTATTTAAATACATGTTCATACAAAGAAATATTTCCAAATGATCAGGTCCCCCTTGCTGGACTTGGAGGTATTAAAGACTGATCATTGTGAAAACAAAGAAGAAGCATTGGTTCACATTTAGGCTAGGCAGGTGCTCTACCACTTGAGCCATTCCACCAGCTTCACATTTAGGCTAAAAGTTATGTTTTCTACTTAGCTTCTAACTACTGATGGTTTCAAAAGATACTCCCTGTTTTTCTTTGGAGTGTGGTATTACAGAATAGCCCATCGATCTTAATTTGAAGTGTTTCACATGTATTTATTTCCAAAGATGAGAGCACAATAAAAACATAACAAATATAAAGGGAAAATAAATCTCTTTTAAATTTTCTTTTCTTCTTTAAACATGAAATGCTAGCACTAGTTTGTTTTTTAGGTATTGGCCAATTCCAAAGAACCAGCCATGCCAGTGAGTTCAACACGTTCAACTAATATTTTAGACAGTATGAACAAATCATCCAGGAAATCCAGTGCACTTAATCGAGCAGCAAATAATGAAAAGTCTCCAGTTATAAAGCCTCTGATTCCAAAGCCAAAGTCTAAGCAGGTACTGTTTCAACTACTCACATCTGTAATAAACAGTATGCAATCTGTTGGTGTTCGATTTTGTTTACTGCTTCAGGTATGAATGGGAGGTGCCAGTGGTTTATCATTGGTTGTCCAGCTGTGAAAGTGGATTCAGTGATGGCTTTGGTCCAGTACCTTCTTTAAATGTATCTACCCCTGGTCCTGGGGACTTTATCTGTACTCTCTTGTAAACCTCCCAAATGGTTCTGAAGCACATCCTTGCTTAGTAATGACTATTTTAGCATATGGCCCTAATCTTCCTTGTTCTATATATGTATTTCATTCTAGATTTGTCATTAAATAGATTATTACATATCTCTCCATTTCATACAATTGTGTTCATTTAGAAAATGTGGAATTTGAAGTATGGGGGATTATTTTGGTTTTGTGTGTACATATTTATTCTCAACTGAGAACTCAAGATTTCAGCTGTTGGTAGATGAATTCTAAATTCTAAATAATTATAAATATTTCTTCCCATATTTCGAAACTTGTTCATAGCATAAAATCCTGATAGATTTAGAGCTTGTATTTCTTTGTTTTATTTGTTTGAACTCAAGGCCTTGTGCTTGCTAGGCTACCACTTGACTCACACCGCCAGCCTTCGTTGCCTTAGGTATTGTTTTAATAGGACCTTGAGCTTATGCCCAGGCCAGCCTGTGCTGTGGTTCTCCTGTTTATGCTTCCCAAGTAGCTGGGGTGACAGTTGTTGTGCCACCATGCCCAGCTTTTATTGGTTGAGATGCAGTCTCTCAAACTTTTTTTGCCCAGGCTCCCTCTAACAGCTATCCTCCTGATCTCCACCTCTTGAGTAGCTAAGATTACAAGTGTGAGCCACCATGCCCAGCCTGACGTTTGTTTTTATAGGTATCTGCAGCATCCTATTTCCAGAAAAAAAGTTCTCAGGCCGATAAGACTGAAGAAGGGAAAGAAGAAAATCCTACAGATGTATCATCTGAAACCCCAGCTGTGTGTCCTCAAAATGCTGAAAACCAAAGGTCAGTACATAACAGTAGCAACCTCATTTTTCAAATGACAAATTATATAAATTTCTTATTATGAGTAATTGGCACTGATAGTGGCCCTTTTAAAAAGTGATGTTACAAAGCTACAAATATTGATTAATGTTCATTTATAGTACATGAGTTTTAAGTTATAATGTATTTTATTGGAACTATATTTTATAATTCATTTTTTGTCTGTTTTGAAGTAACATAGTTACATGGGAGAGAGGGAAGACAGCAAAAGATGCAAAAAGATGTAATGAAAAATAAATCTCCTAGCTGACCAGTTTCACTTTCCAAAAGTAGTCATTGTGTTTTGCACAATGGCAACGTGCCTTCCTTTTTTTGAAGATTATTTCATATTACTTAAATCTTTTTACATCTATTGACTAGGTAAGTCATAAAGCATTTAGTTTTCTTGTGAACAAAAGGTGGTTGCAGGTCTTTTGCTAATACACACAGTATTGCATTTCTGATTCTGATAGATACTGCTAAATTGTTTTGGTTTGTATATCATTTTATCCATCTCCAGTAAGCCCCCCCACCCAAGAAGATTGATAATTCACCTTTTCATACTATCAACTGGCTATACAGAAAATAGACCTTTGAAGCCAGGCATGGTGATGTACACCTGTAATCCCAGCATTTGGCTGGCAGAGGCAGGAGGATTATGAGTTTGAGGTTAGCTTGGTCCATATAGCAAATTCATGGACTACATAAGGAGGTCCTGACTCAAAAACAAACAAACAAAAAGAACTGGGTGACTGGCTATCAGAGTGGCTCAAGTGGCAGAGTGCCTGCCTAGTAAGCATGAGACCCTGAGTTCAAACCCCACTACCACAAAAAACAAGTTTTGAAGTCTCACTAAGGAATTACCATATTTAGCTAATATTTTGTCACAGGTGCTGATATACTAAATCAGAAAAAAAAAAATCAACTTTGTTTTTCTCTTCCAAACACCTATTTAGTGTCAGAAGGTTGAGTGCTCTTAGTTGAATGTGTGACATTGCCCCAAACTGGACTAAAATGAGTCTTTACTAATTACTGTTAAAAGAGTGTGCCATTTTATTTATACATCAAATATTTAAATCTTTTAGTGACTTAGTTTAGTCTTAGTTCCTGGCTCTGGCTTATTTTTGAGATGTTTTCTTATTTCCCTGTCATCTTGTCCTATCTATCCTGCCTCATAAGAACCTTTGTTTTGATACTGATTTTAGCAGTGTTTTGTTTGTTTTATTTTTGTATTATTCTCCTGAAAATAGGATTCAATTAAAATTACTTGAAATTTGTGTATTTTCAGATATTGGGCAAGTAGTTATAGTCATATAGTCTTTTGTTTGGTCAGTTGTTTTTTTGAGTTGGGTCTCACTGTAGCTCAGGATGGCCTGAAACTCTCCATCCTCCTCATTCTGTCTTCTGAGTGCTGTGATTACAGGCATGCTCGCTACTATACCTGGCCTAATGTTTTTTAATAACTTGTTACTCTAAAAATTAAAAAGTTTATAGACAAAAATAATTCATTTTTACTCATTTATGGAAGTAATTCTTTTCTTCTCATTCTTTCTATGTATTATCTCAGTTTCCTTGTCTGTGGACTAGATATTAACTGTTGCCAATTCATAGAGTTATTGCTGAATAAATGAGGTCATATATTCAGCACATAAAGCATTTAGAACAGTGCCTGACAAATAGTAAGTGCTCAGAACTATTAAATATCTGCATTAAACCTTCACTTGCACCTAAAGTCAATTTGTTGTGAAAAGCAGCATCCTAGTAAAATTTACAGTGTGCTGTGGGCTTGCTTCACATGATGATAGTATGAGAAGGACCCAGGTGGGTGAGGACGATGTGATGAGAAAGAGGCTTAAGGGCAGTCAGCAAGGTTTCAAATAGCTGGTTTGTGAAATGGAGAAAGGGAACTAGAGGAATTTTAATGGGCCAGAAGGGCAAAGTAAGGTTGGAGACCTTGAGCTTGTAAACACAAGAGTTGAAAGTACAGAGTTCAGGGTTGCTGCACTTAGAAAGTATAAATGTGAGGAATCCTTTTGAATTGACCTTTGTAAAGAGGGGATTTTTCATTTCATTAATCCTGCAGTCTCTGGTTGGTTTAAAGTATAGGAATAGTAAGTGTAATTGTGTTTCCCTTATCTTATATTGGCATACAAAGACTAATGTTAATTACTAATTTAAAAAGTCATATGGCACTTTAAACTGTGTATTAAGCATTAAAAAATTTCATGTAATTTCTATTTTAGGCCAAAGACCGGGTTCCAGGTGTGGCTGGAAGAAAACAGAAGTAATATTTTGTCTGACAATCCTGACTTTTCAGATGAAGCAGACATAATAAAAGAAGGAATGATTCGATTTAGAGTACTGTCAGCTGAAGAAAGGAAGGTAAGGATAATTTTGCTAGGATTGAGATTTTTAGTGCATTTCCTAGGCTTAAAGAATTCTGAGAGAAATGATTATTTTTATTTTTGGAAAATTTAATATATCATAAAACTCTTGATGGACAGGAAATTAAATGTAAAGGTCAGATTCAAGCATGTGGATTTGTAGTAATTACTACTGAGTTAATTTTTTATGGTTAACTTTTTTTTTGGCAGTAAACTATTTATATAAATATGTGGTTTTAGGGTAATACTACTAAGAAAAAATGCTTTAGTTATAAATCAAAGCAAAAAAGGTTAAGTAAAAATGAGTTTAATCCACATTTTTGAATTAGTACATTTCTTAAAGGTGTGAATTTCTTTTTCTTTCTTTTCATTTTTGGTGGTGGTGGTACTGGGGTTTGAACTCAGGGCCTTGCATTTGCTAGGTTCTACTTCTTGAACCACGCCTCCAGCTCTCTTGCAAATAGAATTTCTTAAAATGCTAGCTACTTACACTGAATACTTTTTACACATAAGAATATTCCTTATACAATGGAGAAATAGCAGCCTCTTCAACAAAAACTGCTGGGAAAACTGGTTAGCAGTCTGCAAAAAACTGAAACTAGATCCATGTATATCACCCTATACCAAGATTAACTCAAAATGGATCAAGGATCTTAATATCAGACCCCAAACTCTTAAGTTGATACAAGAAAGAGTAGGAAATACTCTGGAGTTAGTAGGTATAGGTAAGAACTTTCTCAATGAAACCCCAGCAGCACAGCAACTAAGAGATAGCATAGATAAATGGGACCTCATAAAACTAAAAAGCTTCTGTTCATCAAAAGAAATGGTCTCTAAACTGAAGAGAACACCCACAGAGTGGGAGAAAATATTTGCCAATTATACATCAGACAAAGGACTGATAACCAGAATATACAGGGAACTTAAAAAACTAAATTCTCGCAAAACTAATGAACCAATAAAGAAATGGGCATGTGAACTAAACAGAACTTTCTCAAAAGAAGAAATTCAAATGGCCAAAAAACACATGAAAAAATGCTCACCATCTCTAGCAATAAAGGAAATGCAAATTAAAACCACACTAAGATTCCACCTCACCCCTGTTAGAATAGCCATCATCAGCAACACCACCAACAACAGGTGTTGGCGAGGATGCGGGGAAAAAGGAACCCTCTTACACTGTTGGTGGGAATGTAGACTAGTACAACCACTCTGGAAAAAAATTTGGAGGCTACTTAAAAAGCTGGACATCGATCTACCATTTGATCCAGCAATACCACTCTTGGGGATATACCCAAAAGACTGTTACTCCAGAGGCACCTGCACATCCATGTTTATTGCGGCACTATTCACAATAGCCAAGTTACGGAAACAGCCAAGATGCCCCACCACTGACGAATGGATTAAGAAAATGTGGTATCTATACACAATGGAATTTTATGCAGCCATGAAGAAGAACGAAATGTTATCATTCGCTGGTAAATGGATGGAATTGGAGAACATCATTCTGAGTGAGGTTAGCCTGGCCCAAAAGACCAAAAATCGTATGTTCTCCCTCATATGTGGACATTAGATCAAGGGCAAACACAACAAGGGATTGGACTATGAGCACATGATAAAAGCGAGAGCACACAAGGGAGGGGTGAGGATAGGTAAGACACCTAAAAAACTAGCTAGCATTTGTTGCCCTTAATGCAGAGAAACTAAAGCAGATACCTTAAAGCAACTGAGGCCAATAGGAAAAGGGGAACAGGTACTAGAGAAAAGGTTAGATCAAAAAGAATTAACCTAGAAGGTAACACCCACGCACAGGAAATCAATGTGAGTCAACTCCCTGTATAGCTATCCTTATCTCAACCAGCAAAAACCCTTGTTCCTTCCTATTATTGCTTATACTCTCTCTACAACAAAATTAGAGATAAGGGCAAAATAGTTTCTGCTGGGTATTGGGGGGGGGAGCGGGAGGGGGTGGAGTGGGTGGTAAGGGAGGGGGTGGGGGCAGGGGGGAGAAATGAACCAAGCCTTGTATGCACATATGAATAATAAAAGAAAAATGAAAAAAAAAAAATATTCCTTTTGAGGGGGAAAACCCTAGTGCACTGGGTACTGGTCCAGCCTTTCACTTAGAAATTAAAACAGGTAGCTTGCTTCTCCTGTGAATTTCTTCTGTATACAGAAAAGAAGGAGTAGCCTTCTGTCAGAAGGGAAGCAATGTGGGTTTTGTTCCAATCAAATCCTTAGACTTCACTTCCTCAGGGAGGCAGTATGCAGCATGGGTACCTAGCAACATAGATACTTGCTTTAATGCATTGGATTTTATGAAGAAAGGTATGATGTAATGGGAAAGCTAGTAACTGGTCTAACTGCTTCCAGCATCATTTAGACCCTCTTTAGCAATTTTGTGTTTCTTATTTTTTATAAGTGTTCATAAAGGATAAAAATTCTAAAGAATTAGATAAGTTAACACTGGAGTGAGTAAGCTTACACTGCAAAAAGGAAAGTGATGAAGCAAAAGTTGTGATTGTTTTTTGTTTGGGGTGGGTTTTTGTTTTTTTTTAATTTTGTTTTGTTTTGTTTATTTGTTTGTTTTTTTCCACTGTTGAGGATAGAACACAGGGCCTTGTGCATGATCTGCTGAATCATATCCCCAACTCTTGATTGTGGGGTTTTTTTTCCCCTTCCTTTTTTTTCCCATGGGACTCAGGACCTCACACTTGTTAGGCAAGCGCTCTCTTACTGCTTGAGCCACTCCACCAGCATTTTTTAATTTAATTTTTTAATTTTTGTAGCATTAGGGTTTGAACTCAGCTTCTCACGGTTGCTAGGCAGGTTCTCTACCACTTGAGTAATTCCACCAGTCCCCCTCTTCTTTAAATAAATAAGTGGCCAGGAAATTGAAACATTAGAAGTGGTGCTTTTACAGATTAAAAGAAATTTAAGAGACAGATGAGCTGGGGATGCGGCTCAAGTGGTAGAGTGCCTGTCTAGTGGTACTGGAATTTAAACTCAGAACCTCACACTTGCTAGGCTGGTGCGCTACCACTTGAGCCACTCCCAACAGCCCTTTTTTTTGATGGGTTTTTTTCGAGATAGGGTCTCACAAACTATTTGCCTGGGCTGGCTTTGAACCTCGGTCTTCCTTATTTCTGCCTCCCAAGGAGCTAGGATTACAGGCATGAGCTACCAGCACCATCCCAAGCAACTTTCTAGATTCCACATTAGTGAAATCATGAAGTCCTTATCTTTATGTGCCTGGCTTATTTAACTTAACATATTGATCCCCAGTTCTATCCATGCTGCTGCAAATGACAGGATTTCATTTTTATGGCTTGGTGTTCATCCTGGATATGCAGCACATTTTCTGTATCCATTCATCAACTTATAGACATTTCAGCTCTTTCCATTTCTCGGCTGTTGTGAATAGTGCTGCAGTGAACCTGGGGGTGCAAGTGTTCTTCAACATGCTGATTTTATTTCCTTTGGATATATATCCAGTAGGGGATTGCTGGATCATGGTAGTTGCAGTTTTAATTTTTTGAGGAACCTCCATACTGTTTTCACTGACTGTGCTAATTTATATTCCCACCAATGATGTGCAAGGGTTCTCTTTTTTACACATATTTGCCAGTGCTTTTTTGCTTCGGTCTTTTTGTTAATAGCTCTTCTCACTGGGATAAGATGTCATTGTGGCTTAGTTTGCATTACCCTAATGATAATGGACCTATCAGACATTTGTATGTCTTCTTTTGAGAATGTCTACTTATGAACTATTGCCCATTTTTTAATCATGTTATTGGGATTTTTTGCTATTGAGGTTTTGAGGTTCCTTAAATATTCTGGATCAGCACCTTGTTAGATAGTTTGCAGGTATTTTCTTCAAAATATTGTATTCTTCAAAAAGAATAAAATATTTGTTAACAAGTAGAACCTTTAATGATTAGCTAACAATTAAAGGGCTAATTGTTCTATTTTATATATAAGAATGTTACCCAGGGAAATAAATAAACCATTTCTATTCTATTTCTTTGTTGTTGCATAAAAATCTTTTATCTTCACCCCCAATATTTTACAAAGGCTTGGACTAACAAGGCCAAGGGAGAAACTGCAAATGATGGAACTGAAGCAAAGAAGCGAAAACGTGATGAAAGTCATAAAACAGAAAACCAAAAAGAAGCAGCAGAAGAGAATCTGAGCTTGCCTAAGAAGCAAAAACCTTTAGATCTTTCTACCAATCAGAAACTGTCAGCTTTTGCATTTAAGCAGGACTAAAGGAAGAAAGTGATCTTAGGAAAGTAATGGATTTTTTGGTCTTCTTTGAATCTGTCCCTTTTTTTTTTTTCTTTTAGTCTTTAGGAAACTCATTACATACATATTTTTAAAGAGTTAAAGACAACTGTCTTTATAAGATAATATAGTTGATGGGGGTGTAGCTCAAGCTTGCCTAACATGTATGAGATACTGGGCTTGATCCCCAGCACCACGCACACAAAAAAATATAATGTGGCAATTATATGGTATCAGAAAGCCCAGTGAAAACAACAATCTCTGTGGATCACTCTGCTCCCAGTGGAGCAGTAGCATTGTGCTGCAGTCACTGGCTAGAGGCCACTGTATGTCCCAGTTGAAGCCAGTTTGATTTGTTTCTTACCTCTGCCAAAGTACCTTCCAGGGGTTTCCTCACTTTGTGTCATGGACTGAGAAGTACCACAGTCATCCCCTTCCCAAGTATGTTTCCATAGACTGTTCTCCATGTCTATATTAGATCTAGGGGACTGTTTTAATATGGGCCCTAAGCATGTAAATAATCTTGTAGATGAGACATTTTCTTTTGTGTGGTTTGGAGATTGCTTTATATATGGCTTTCGATTGCCTGTTTAGCTTGAGTTTTGGGGTTTTGTTTTTGTTTTTAAGATAATAAACTTTCTTGTTTCCATATTTGCCTTGGTATGGTCTTAACATTGTATTTCCAGGAAGTAGAAGTGTTTCTATAAAATGTATCTGTGTTTACCATCACAATTTCTCCCACTTTCCTCCCCTCTCTTGCCCCACATTGTCCACGTAGTAGAGAAGAGCTGAAGGCATTGCTTTGAGAGCGTGGCAGTGCAGGACATCGTGGGCTCCTGCAGAATACCCTGGTTATCAGCAACAGCAGTACTCTGCTAAGCAAGTCTTTGAGGGCTTGATAAGAGGAGCATAGTCAGAATTAGGAAAATGTTTAACTCTTTTTATTTTGAATAGACATGTTTAATTGTTTCATGCATTTTGTCTATCCCAAGCAGAGATAATATAAAAGCAGCCACATAAAGGCAAAGTACAGGTATGGAAATTAGTAAAATAAAGTCAGGTGACTCAAAATCAAGGATAGGTTGAAACGAACAAAATAGGTTGAAAATTTAGACATACAGGAGCCAAAGGATATTCCTTATTCCATGATGATTATTAAGGTTAGAAAGGATACATTTCTCATTTTTTAAAGTCGTAGTTGGTGTTGAGAGATACTATAGTGCAGTTGTTGGGATCACAGATTCCAAAGCTAGACTGCCTGAGTTTGAAGACTTTCACTACCTACCAGCTGGATAACATTCTAGTCTACTTATCTGTAAACCACAGAATTATAAGATCAGATAGAAGAACTTTGTTCCTGACGTATAGTAAGTTTTTATACAAATGTTAGTTATCCTTATTATGCTGTGGCCTATTTCATTCTGCTTTATCATTGGATTTGATTCTGAATACCTGTGAACTAATTTTGATTTCAAGATCTTGAAGTACAGGTTTACATGTAGTATTTTGAAAAGCATATTTATAGACATGTATTTTATTTCCTCAACTTGCTTATTGTACAAACTGTATTTCCCAAGGATATAATCCTTGAGTGTTATATTTCATATACTTAGGAACCTGATAATACTGAGTATTTGCAAAAGGATTTTTTTTAATCTCATTTGTTCGAAGGAAGGTTTTTATATCAATTTGGCTTAAGTCACAAACCAGATATTTGAAACCAAGAAACATTATCTTAATTTCTTTGCACTATAAGATAAACCTAGTTTTTTTCCACCTTTTTTTCCAGAAAACTAGGACTTAGAAAAATGTAAGTGGAAATAAATGAACTATTATCAATAATATTACCTATTTCAGCTTACTGTATGCTATAGAGAGTTGTCATTCATTCTCCAAAAGTAAAAGCTTCTCAGATTATTTTACAGCCTTGTACAGTAAGCCTGCCTTACTTACAGATTTATTACACATGATTTTGACCAAAGCACCGTTTAATAAAAATTAATAAAAACGAAAAGAAATTTCCAAAGCAAACTTTAAATTCCTGGAGCAGCTCAGTGGATACAGAGCAGTGCTCAGTGAGTCCCATGTTATCATCAGTTGTGTCATTTGTGGCCTGCTGTGTTTCTCTGCCCTTAATTTTGTGAAAATCTGCCTCCCAAAACTCAAATGATTCCCCTAAAACAAGGTAAAAGTTAGTGCACATAATTTAAGTGGTGAAGCGAAAACTTTAGATTTGTTCAAAGGTGTCGTGTCTTAGTGGGGAGGTTGGTTGGGGTTATGGGAAAAGTGAATCAAGCGTCTGGAGTACAGCCCTGAACGCAACCTGAGCATGCGTGGGTTTTTCGCACTGGCTGTCTCCTTGGAACCCATAGACCCACAGATACCAAGGCATCATCTTCCTTTGCAAGACATTATTAGGGCAACCATTCAACTATAAGGTTAGAGTTTTTCCCCTAAAATCACTACTAATAACAGAGTTTATAGTCAAGACCAGTTTGGAGCCTCTCAGTGACTTTTTTGAAGTAGAGAAAATGTAAGAGCTTAAAATGACTCTGTTGCTTCTGGCCATCTGATGGAATGAATACTGTAGGGAACAAAATTTAGCATGTTTCTAAGTCTCATTGCAAGTATAGGACAACCTTATAAAGAAACCCTCTAAAGATCAGTTTTAGAAAATAAAATGGCCTTGGTTTCCAACCTGGTGCGTTAGGTATCTTAACTTCAGCATACCTAAGCATTGGAAATGTTTGGTAAAATTTCTAAAACCGCACAGGTAATACAATGCTAGTGTATTAGGCAGGAATTCTCAGAAGGCAAAAACAAAGTTAAAGTGGCAACACAGGCAGGAGATCAGAAAGTAAAGCCAGTTCTCATTTTGAGGGCATTTGCCAAACCCATGTCTTCCAGTTCTTTTGACTGAATAACAAATCCTCTCAACATTTAATAGCTTAAAATAATGACTGCGTTAATTTTGTTCACAAATCTGCAATTTGGGTAGAACTCAGCAGAATAATTTATCTCTGCTCTGCTTATCCCCAGCTGGGATTGGAGTCATTTGAAGGCCCCCTTCCTTACACAGGTCTGACAAGTGATACAGGACCCCTGTCCTTGACCTCTCTGTGCGGTCTGCATGGGCAATGTGGACTTCTTCCCAGCATGGTAACTCAGGAGGAGGATGAGCACCCTAAGACAGAACTGGAAGTCATATCGCCTTTCTGTGCCTGCTTCCGAAGTCGACAGGATGGAGTGAAGCATGGCTCAGGTGGTAGAGTGTGCTTGCCCTGAGTTCACTCTCTAGTACCAAAACAAAAGGCCAAAAGGACTTTACCTCGCTGTATCTTCAGAAGCAGATTAAGCAGCCCATATTCAGAGGGGGGAATTTAGCCCATTCCTGTCACAAAGGAATGTTACCTGTAAAAAGAGCATATGAGGTTAGATGCGTTGATGGGTCCGTCTTTGCAAAATGCAAACTGCCACACTGAGTGACCCTCACTTTTCATGGCCTCATGTTCAGTGAACAGCAGACAAAGCCCAGGGCCTACCCCTAGTGAGATGTGTAATAGGAAATTCTCCCTCTTGCAAAGTTAGTATCCTAAAGAACAGCTGCTTGCTGAGGTGTTTGCAATGCTGAGGATTGAAACCCAGGGCACTGTACATGGTAAGCAAGTGCTTTGCTACTGAGCTATATACTTTCAGTCCTTCTCTGACTTTAAGGTAAATCAAAAGTGAATTCATTCTGTCCCCTTGTCTCACACACACACACACACACACACATCTCAAAAAAAAGGGGGTATTTATATTATTATAAATATATTCCCATTAATGAAGAATTAGTAACTATAACTATTAATAACTAAAATTGGCCCCCACACAGGTATGTGGTGTAAGTTCATGCTCCATAGGGGTAAAAGACATAAAAAAAAAAAAAAAAAGTCAGCCAGCCAGGCACTGGTGGCTCACATCTATAATCCTAGCTCCTTGAGAAGCTGAAATCAGGAGGATCTTGGTTTAAGGCCAGCCCAGGCAAATAGTTCAAGAGAACCACATCTCTAAAACCAGAGCAAAATTGACTAGAGGTCTGACTCAAGAAGTAGAGTGCCTACTTTGTCAAGCAGGAAACCCCAATCCCACCAAAATAAATAAAATATGAAAACAACAACGAACAATCCAAGCTTAGATTTTAAAGTGTGGTTTTTGTGCCAGAATAGATGGAAGGTGGCAGTCTTTTGTGGTTGATTCAACTTTTTCCTAGTCTGTGACATAAAGTGTAAAAGCTGATTAAGTAGAAAGTAAACATAATATAGTTTAAAAACCAGAGGTTGTTTCTTTGAAAGTCTTATAAATTAGAAAATTTTCTGGCAAGAGTGATCAAAATGAAAAAGTATAAATAAATGATCTTACCAATGAAATTATTAGTTAGAAATGGTACAATTACGAAAAGGAGGCTGGTGATAATCAGTTTCATGTATCCACTTGGCTAGAATATAGTTGTCAGTATTTGAAGGTGTTTTATAGGTCATATTAAAGTCCATCATTAAGAAGCTGTAAGTAACGGAGAATATTCTAGGTAATGAGTGGGGGAGGGGATACACATTCTTGAAGAATAGTGTGAAGCAGATTAATGGCAAATAAAATGTTTTGCCCAGAGTTGGAACTGGTCTCCTGCAAAGGGTTCCTGTGGATACAGCTGGCTAGGAGTTGATACAGACAGGTTAACTAAAGAGGGAGGAGTATTAATGTGGTTTAATAAGATAGACTCTTCATGACATCATTTCCCTCTCAAATGAAATGTTATAGCGGTTGATTAAAAATAGTAACTGGGTGTTTCTAAAATATGCAAGGAACTCTCACACTCAACGTTGAAAGCCAAAACTCAAAGCCTGTAGTCCAATTAGGAAATGAGCAAAAGACATGCATAAACATTCACTAGAATGTAGATGGGGGCAAATAAACACATGAAAAGATGTTCAATAACATTAGCCATCACAGACATGCAAGTTATAATTACAGTGAGATATCACTATGTGCCTATCAGCATAGCCAAAATGAAAAATAGTCATTACAGCAGTTACTAATGAGGATGAAGAGAAATGGATCACTGAAGGGAATGTTAAATCATACAGCCACTCTAG